AGACCTGCAATGAGATCCTTACTCTTGCTAAGAGGAGGAGCTAATTTTTATTTTTCAGTGTTCTGCCTGGAAGTGAGGAGGATGAAGGGGAGACAGGTAAGGGAGGGGCTGATTGACCCTCCTCCTTAGGAAAAGAGGGCAAGTCTTTATCCCCTGCTTAGAGATTAGCCAGATAAGACTCCGAGGATCTTCTGGAGGGCCAGGGGATCTGCCCTGGGCAATCTGGGTCTCTGAAACTGGTGGCCGTTAAGTCTGGAAAGAAATGGATAAAGCAGATCTTCTTGCTCTAAATTTCTGATGTACTGTCCGCAGAGGGTCTTTCTTACTTCCCAGTTCTCCTTCATAAAGTGTGTTTTCTATGAGGGGAACTCTCCTTTCTCTGGAGAACTGTTAATTCCCCGAGGAACAAACCATTGAAGCCTGCATGGGAACACCCACTCATTTGCAAATTGGCAAACAGACTCTCCCACAAAGTAGAAGAAGGCTTGATTGATTCAGGGCTTAGAGGAAACAATGAAGTCCATTTAACAAAGCCAACATTTAATGAACTCGAAACAATGTGCTTCAAAAAATAAGTTCGTAGAGCAGCCTTTTAAACGGGATCGCAGCTTATTAGCTTTATTTTGAAAGTACCATCTGTTCACTCAGTAAGAGTTTACTGGCTTGTTTGTCATCATGACTCAATCAAATACCTATATGATTTCTGAGCAATGGAAGAAAATGTTGATGGGGATTTTGCAAATGACAATTTTGTGTCTGGGCCAACTTTCACAAATTATACAGGACCTTCCAATAGAACAGGTAGTTTCTATTGCCTGGCAATTCGCAAAAGAAAGATACAGGGGAGACAAGCTCACCTTTCAGAAGAGTCTGCCATAAAAACCCTTTTTTATGGGACTCTTTCAAGATCCTGTGAAAACCTTCCCATCAGTTTTATTTGTGTATCTTATGGAGAAATAGCAATGGGCCTCCGGGGGAGATGTTGCTTTTGGGTCTCTTCCAATGGCATCCCTTGACTTCATCTTCATCTCAGGAAAGGGGAAGAGTGTTGGAAAGCAGAGAAGAGATGGGGTCAGGTGGTGGAATGGCGGGTAATTACCAGGAAAAAATAGGAGCCTCCTACCTTTTATCAGAGCAAGTATCAAATACTGTTTGGCCCAAGTACATTTTGTCCCTTTCTGTTTCTTATGCAAATGCAACATCTAGAAACCTAGCCTGCCACAAAAGTTGACTCTGCTTCCCGACTTCATTCAACTTGTCCTTGAAAGGAGTATCATGTACCTGATTGTTAGCTGGGTCCCCCCTCCAAGAAATTGTAGGCGAGATTTTATCATTATCAGGCTTCTCTAGAAATCAAAAGCACCTGTTCTTTGTTAAGGTGGGCTTCTAAAGAGAGAAATATTCCCATTAGAGAACACCCAGAGTTCATATGGGAACACTGCTGATATGTCCAGCCCAAGGATACCAACCTCAGTTGAATAAACTTGAAGCGCCTGTATTAAGCACTTCTGTGTACCAGGCACTGTGTTAAGTAATGTGCATGCATTATTTCATTAGGTTCTCACAACAACACAGGAGATAGGAAGCCTATTTGATAGATTTGAAAACTAAGGGTTTGGAAAGGTCAAGTTACTTGCTCAAGATCACACCATTGGAAATGTGACAGAACCATGACTTCTTAATTCCAGAACTTGTGCTCTTAGTTACATAAGACATAATTCAGCACTGATGACAATAATGATGTATGCTATCTAGCAGTGACCCATTCCTAACAAGCTGCCCTCTTTGGATTTCCCAAGCGGAGCTAAGCATAAAAATGAAACTCTTCCCTGATGCCCTGCCCCTATAGAGGAAAATAAGTCATGTCTATGCAAACTGATTTATAGTAGGCCCCCCCTTATCCACGGTTTTGCTTTCCAAGGTTTCAGTGACCCATAGTCAACCACATTCCAAAAATATTAAATGGAAAATTCCAGGAAAAAAAACTCATAAATTTTAAATTTCATGCCATTCTGAGTAGTATGATAAAAATCCTGTGCCATCGCGCTCTACCCTGCCATTGACACGCATCATTCCTTTGTCCAGTGTATCCATACTGTATACACTACCCACTCGTTAGTCACTTACTGGCCTTCTAGGTTATCAGGTTGACTGTCATCATATTAGAGTGCTTGTGTTCAAATCACCCTTATTTTACTTAACAATGGCCTGAAAGTGTAGGAATAGTGATGCTGGCAATTTGGATACGCCAAAGAGAAACTATAAAGTGCTTAATTCAAGTGGAAAGTTATGAAAGTATAAGAAAAAATATATAGTATACACTTATAGCGTTCAGTATTAATTGTGGTTTTGGGCATTTACTGAGGATCTAGGAATATATCCCCTGCAGACAAGGGGGTACTATTGTATATTTAGTATTCTGAGTAACAGTATTTCATAGATATTATTGTGCACTTTCAGGAGAGGAGAAAATGAAGGCTCAGAGAATCTCAGTAACTTGCCCAAGAACAAACAGCTAGGAAGTGGTAGAGCTGGGCTTTTGATCCCAAGTCAACTACAGAGTCTATCTGCCCAGCCTGACCCTACAGTGCCTCATAGCATCTTGTAGGAGATCATCTGACATTTCCACTGGGAGGCAGGTAAAGCCTTTATTTTCACTGCAACCCTTTCCATGAATGAATTCCCAAAAATACATAGAAGAGTACATAGATAGAAGAGCAATACTGAATTATCAGTGATGAATAATCTATGCAACTGGACTCTGTTAGGTTGCTATGTCTTGACTTGCTTGTCACATCCTCTGTCAATCATGTTGATCTCTCCCTTTTTCCCTCCTTTCCGTCTCATGTTGTCAGTACAGACTTCCATCACTCTATGCATCCCCTGCCCTCCCACCCAGCCCCTAGGTCCACTGACTTGCCTGTGTCTTTCCAGAATCTAGTCCATTGCCTGGTATACTGGAAGGGCTTAATGTTTTTTAAAACAGAGGGAGGAAAAGTTCAGAGTTAGTGCTAAGCCCTAGTAAAAAGAAACTTAGAGAATTTACATGTATTTTTCTGCTCTGTAAGTAATGCCTATAGTGAACTATAGAGACTAGTATAAATTTCTGGTATTTTCAGACCACACTAAATTTGACCCTAGGCAAAACAATAGCATGTTCCCCCCACCTCTCTTCTATAGCCTATTTGGTCTTTATCCATAAAATATATTAATTGCATATATGTTATAAAATATATGTTTATTTATATATCTCTCATGTTACATAAACCTTCAATGGACATTTCATGGTACTTTCCTTTGGGGAAAAGAAAAACAACTCATGAACAAATATATGTTGCCAGAAGTTGTTGGCTGTCTGTTCATGTAATCTATTTATTTATCTAGTACTTTACAGTTTACAGGAGCCTCTCTTGATTGCTCTATAGCCTTCATTTACAGAGAAGGAAACTGAGTCACAGAAATTTTTAGCAGCTTGTCATGTGGCTATTTCCTCAATCCTCAGGCACCATGATGGTAAGACATATCATCAACTTAACCATAGGTTTTGAGGAAGTAAGGAAACTCTACTTTATTCCTTATGCATATTGCTTATAAGACACATCTCAATGTTTCCAAGGCATTAAATTATGTGGGCTTGGAGGGAAGGACGTGTGTCCTAAAATAAAGGAAATACAAGTAGCAAAACAATGACTTAACCCAGTCTTTTAACTCTGAGTCATGGTGGATAGATAATCTTGTCTCTTGTCTACATTATAAAGCCCTGCAAGGCAGGGCACTTTTCTACACTTTCCACAGCTGTCTCTCAAAAAGCTGACTATAGTGGCTTCTGTACAATATACTCAGTTGATTGATTTTTTTAAAACCTGTTTCCTCTAAAAACAAAAATTAGGAACAAATCCTGATTTTTTATTTTTAAATTTCTGGGTGTTAAAAATTTCCAGGCAACAAATATATTTGGCAAGTTCCCAGGAGCAACATTTTATCTGTTGTTTTTTGGCAGGATTATATTTGGCGACTAAGGATTGATCATGACATTACCTTTTGAAGTTCCTTCTTCCAGTGTCATTGCTCAGGGGTCTAACAAAACTTTAGCAGCCTAGAGGTCAACAATCAAAAGTTATAGTTCAGGATGAAGTTCTAGAGGAACCTCAGGATGAAACTCTTGAAGTTCAGAGTTTATTTTAAAAAATACTAGAAGAAAAAACCTTAACGTATTTGCATTTATACAGCTTATTTATATTTTTTTGTCAGGTGTAACACTGCTGAACTTGAGTCTTCTTAACTTCAAAGTTTAGTTAGCTTACATATAAAAATAAAAAACAAAGCAAAGAAAGCAAGACATAGAGAAAGAAAATTGTCACCTGGAACTGTGCAGAAATTAAGTTGCCTCCAATCAGTTATTTTCTTGTACAAGGGAGAAAAAAATTCAACGTTTTATTCCAATCCTGGTTGAAGTGGTTAAAAAAAAAAAGTTTTTCCAACCCTGTGAAGTAAAAGAAATTAGACTCAAGTGGCCGTAACTGAGCTTCCCATCGGATTATTGTGCAAGGTCCCCTTTATTCCGCCCGCAGTGGATAATGCGTGTTCATTGTGATTTATCTGAAACTGGTTTCTTTTACACCTGCTGCCTATATAAAGTCGAGCTAGGACTGGGGCTGGAGGACTGGGCAGCATCTGGGAGGCAGCATCCACAGTCCGGAGAGAATGAAACAGTCGGGAACATGAGCAACTCCATGTGCTATTGACACTCCCAGTGGTATGAACCTTGATTTTTGCCTCTCAGTGCAAACCAGGAACCATTAGAAAGAAGGGACAGACAGCATTACAGATCTTTGAAAATTCCCCCCCAAGACTGTGTGTGCTGCTTTGTTTTCACCCTTGATTCTAATTTCTCGCTCGTGTTTCTGACCTAGAATGATCGAGGCTCGGGCCGGGGCAGGACCGTGAACATCTGGCCAGCTTGGTTTGGCCCCCTGGCAAAGACCAGGTTCTGAGAAGCAATGGTGATGAGGGCCTTTGTCCTGTTGGCCGTGTTTGTGGAAGCCTCGGCGAAGTCATGCACTCCAAATAAAGCAGGTATGTCCTGGTGCCGGTCCGTTTTCCTGGAAAGGAAAGTTTCCTAAAACTTCCCTTTGCAAAGCTCAGAGCTCTGTGCATATACTGTTATGAAAATGCAGTAATACAGCCAAGTAGAAGCACTTAAGCCCCCCAGTAACAATCAGAATTTTCCCACAGGAAGTAAAAATATACTGGATAAAATTAGAGAATGCTAGATAGACGGGTAAATAGGTAGAGAAAAAAAGCTCTGCATTTTTTTTTTCTATTTTCTACTTGACTGTTAGATTTCTGTCCTGTGCCAGAATCATGTTTCACATGAATAGATACTTTTAAAAATAAATAGACTTTTTGTTTTAAGTTATATGTTTATTTTCATGGGGTTTTTAAATTTTTTTATACTCATGATTTATATATCTCTCCAATCAATCAAATCTGGTTTCACAGATATATTCCTTGAAATAGATGAAAATTTAAAAGTGGACCAATTTTGCACACTTATTAGGTATGGTGCAGATATTACACAGCTGTAGCAAAAACTATAAAAGTAGAACTTCTGTGACTGAGGTTTGAGAAAAACTTATCATAGCCCATGAAGAATAGCAGGGAAAGTGGTTTTAACCAAGTGTTTTGCATGTTCACGTGTGGCTAGAATCCTGTGTTATTTATGTAGATTAATATGATCACCGTATCTGATTTCTAACCATGTGTACTCTTTTTCCAGATGTCATTCTTGTGTTTTGTTATCCCAAAACCATCATCACCAAAATCCCCGAGTGTCCCTATGGATGGGAAGTGCATCAACTGGCACTCGGTGGGGTGTGTTACAACGGGGTCCATGAAGGAGGTTACTACCAATTTGTAATCCCAGATTTGTCACCCAAAAACAAGTCGTATTGTGGAACCCAATCTGAGGTAAGTTCAGGCCACACAATGAGGAGTTGCTAAGATGAGACAGCTGGGCCCAAGAATATGATATCTGCTGTCTATCCTTAAAAGGATTTAGAATTCACCAATTTCCTTTTAACAGTCAATCTCATTTCTTGGGATGTTAGTGTTATTTAAATTCTTCTTTTCTACCTAGTTTAAGTGACTCTTTGAATTTGAATTTTATTCTCTTAATTTGTTGCCAGAGCCAGCTAGGCTACCTTCTGTGAGTAGAACAACATACCTTTCCCACCTCTACTTTGCTCTGAGTTCTGAGCATATGCTCACAAGCTGCCATCCTTCCTGGGGGGGTATGGATGGGACATCCTCTGTCCGAGACTTTGAAGTGGTGATAAAGTACATTTGGAAGGACATTTTAAAGGAGTAGCCAAAGTACAACACAATTCATAATTAGGTCTTATGATATACCCAGGAAAGGCCATCAGAATTAAGGGGAACCACAGACAACCTCTTGCCAATATCCTATGTGACAGAGGAGAAATCTGAGACCTCCCAATAAAGTCACCAGTTGGGGGCCACAGATCCAGTAGAGATGTAGTCATGGTCAGGAAGGGAGGCTGTTCTACCTCTGATGTCCAGCATATCTACTGCCTTGACTACAGAAGATTGTATAGAATTTAGGTCTCAGAAAATGGGAGCCACCTCCTAAAGACCACACAGAGATTCAGTGATTAAGTGGAAAGAGTCATGGTCATGATTGATGAAAACATTCTGTCTTTGACTATCCTGGTAAAGTGAACTAGAAACTATCTGTGTGGTCTTAGGTCATTTCTTAATTACATGTTCAAGATTTCTCCAGACTCTAATACTCTGTGATTTCACTGTTCAACAAGTAGGAGGCAAGAGTCCCAGAAATAGTGCTTATGATCATAAGAATAGAGCAAAGAATTAGACAGTAATGTTCTAGAAATGGTCAATTTCTAGAAATCACCCTAAATGGGTGAGAGTATTCACGTAAGATGACTTGGACAGGGGAAATGGGTAAAAAGTCGACGTTGGAAAATAAAGACTCCTGAGCCAGTTCTTCTTGGCCAGAAGCCCAACAGGTATATGGATTTCCTTTAGGCATACAACATTCAGGGTAGATTATTTTAAACAATCATAGTGGAGCAGGCTCAAGAACTCTTTATAAAAGTGATCAGCCCACCCAGGCAAAAAAAAAAAGTGCATGCTACTCTCAATGGCAGACATTCATGTAATCAGATAGGGCTTATTTTTCTGAGCCATCTTCAATCACTTTTCCCAGAATCTTCCTTCTCATCATGGGGGTACAGGTCCGCCCTAACTGACTTCTTCCTTTCCCCAGTACAAGCCCCCCATCTACCACTTCTACAGCCACATTGTTTCCAATGACAGCACAGTGATCGTGAAGAACCAGCCTGTGAATTACTCCTTCTCCTGTACCTACCACTCCACCTACTTAGTGAACCAGGCTGCCTTTGACCAGAGGTAAGTTGCTTGGAGAGTGGAGGGCTGGCTGCCTTGCATGTGTCCTGCAGTCCCTGTCAATCAGGCATGTTTCAGTCCTTATGCAAAATTCTCTCCCCTTTTCAGAGTGGCCACTGTTCACGTGAAGAACGGGAGCATGGGCACATTTGAAAGCCAATTGTCTCTCAACTTCTACACTGTAAGTGGTGTCCATGTTCCCATCGCTGCCCTGTGGCCTCTTTAAGAGGTGATGGGATGCTTCCTCGGGATGTGCTCTTCCCTAAGCTCTATGCAGAGCTTCGTTCTTGAATTCAAGCTGAGATGGAAGCTCTGGTCTAACCCTCTTTAAAAACTAAATGCAACAGAAAGGCAGATTCATAAGCTGGACAGAAGAGCTGAAAGGTGCCACAGAAAAAGAGAGATCAACTTTCCCATTCCATGGATGAGAAAACTGAGGCAAGAGAAATCCTATGAGTTGCTAAGGGTCAATAGACAGTGTGAGAGTCAATGTCTAACTCCTAATTAATCAAGATTAGTTTCCACTATAGCTCACTCTAGAGATATATATATAGATCTATCTATCTATCTATATCTATCTATCTATATATATATATACACATATATATATATGATGTAGCTCATGTTAAAACATTTGCACGAAGTAGTGAGCTTCCCACCTGGGACAGGGCTAAGGAGAGAGGTTGGGGTTGGCCTTGCTCCCTAGTTCTTTGGCCTCTGAAGCCCTCCACTTAGTGGGCTTCCTCATTGTCTAATTTGGGCATGCTGCCTATGTTGACACCGAAGTTAAAGGCACATTTTTGTCTCTCTCAAAATAAAGTGCTCCAGAAAAACTACATAGGCAATGGCCATTAGCCCAGCTGCCCTGCTGTTTAGAAGGGCGCATTAGTAGCAGTAGTAGTATCTTCCTACAAAGTTTCCCATGTTGGTTCCTATCTTTTTAAAATTCTTTTCCATCACAATTTATCCCTGTTATACCCTCTTCCACATCCACCTGCCCCCTCTCCACTGCAATCACCAAACTGTTGTCCATGCTCATGAGTTCTTTCTCTCTTTTTTTTTCTTTTTTGCTCAATTCCTCCACCGTCCCGGCCTTCCCCTCCCCAGAGCTGTCAGCCTGCTCTCTATGTAGGATTCCGTCTCTATTTTGTTTATTAGGTCAATGTGTTCGTTAGGTGCACATGTGAGTGAAATCATGTGGTACTTGTCTTTCTCTGAGTGGCTTATTTCCCTTCGCATACTCTTCTCCAGGTCCATCCATGCTGTTGCAAAGGGTAAACGTTTCATCTTTTTTACAGCTGAGTGCAATTCCATTGTGTAAATGCCCCATAGCTGCTTACCCACTCATCTACTGTTGGGCGCTTGGGCAGCTTCCAAATCCTGGCTATTTTGAATGGCAAGGGGGTGCTTTGTTTTGGAAACCTGCAGCTCGCAGTGAGGAGGCAGTGAGGGGACACAGTGACACTAGCCTGTGGGCCAGAGGAAGATAGAGGCAGAAACAGAAACCTTTACGGTAGAGCTAGAAGACATCCGGAGAGGCCATCACATTCGGCCCATTCATTTCCCCCAAAAAGAACTCATCTGCCTGGAACCCCACGGACCTTGAATTCTTTGAACTTGCTTTACTGACTCCCTGGAAGCTATTAACCCTGCTGACCTCAGAAGATGAGAGCCAGAAGAGACCCTATAATAACCTGGTCCACTTTACAGATGAGGACCTGAGGCCCAGAAGGAGGAAGTGACCTGCCCCAGGTCCCACATCCCACACGTAGAGCAGTGCCCAGTCTGGTCACAGGTCCCCTGGCCTGTTTCTTGAAGCAGACTTCCTAAGAAGGGAATGAAGCCAAAGTTTCAAAACCCCCCACTTGCACAGGCCCCTTTCAAAGCCTTGTGTTTAATTTTTGTATTGAAATTTTAGTTCTTTTAATTAAGAGGACGCCCTCCAATTACCGTATTTTGCTGCATATAATGTGCACTTTTTTTGCCCAAATTTTTGAGGGAAAAATAAAGATGTACATTATACATGGGTAATGCCTGAAATACCTTGTATCTGTTCTTGTGTTTTGTAATTATTTGTTACATAAAATTTCTTGTACCATAACATGTTCAAAAATAAATGCTAAAATCCTTTATAATACAAAAAACAAGTATCTAAATATAAATAAATAAATCGTTGAATTGAACAATTTAAAACAAAAGATTTTTTTTCCTGAAAGTTTGGGCCAAAAACATGGGTGCACATTATACATGGCAAAATACGGTAAATAAGCTTCAAGGTCCCACCAAACCTAGGTGCACCCCTGGCCACACATACTCACGGTTGAATCCTGAGAAAAAAGAACCCCGAAGAGCCCCGAGCCTGTGATCAGGACGGTTAATGCAGTGCTGAGGGTCAGGGCAAGGAAAGGAGGTCGTCAAAACCACTGGAACCACTAATGAATGTAGTCCAGAGAGAAAAATAAGCTTCGCATATGGACAGCAGTGTCATGGAATGTCTTAATGACAGGCTGTCTTTACAACTGAGTCCCTGTCTGGAAGTGCATGATTATTATTTTAACCAGATAAAATGACAGACATCAGCTTATGAAGATCTTACAGCAGTGGGAATTGGAAAGGCACCAGGATTGTCGAAAATCATCATCTACCATCAGCCATGTTAGGCCACGTTTCAGACATAAATATTGAATCTTAGAACTAGAAGGGGCCTATTCTTTATTCAGCATCAACCAGGCCCTCCTCTGGGCTGGACGGGCAAACTTTACAGGATGCCTCCTTGAGTTGTGCTAGGAATGAGGCTAAGGCCCCTCGGGGCCACCAAGACCGTTACAGGACAGACGGTTCAGCAAAAACGGGGCTCTGATGTTACAACTGGATTGTTTGTGCTGATTAATATTCCCACCACCGGTTCTGTTTTCTCTGCCTGACCCATGTGGTTGGTATTTTTCTTCCCCTGCCTTCTTCCGCTTTGAGGACATTCTTGTGTGTTTCTGAAGCAACAGCTGCTCCCTGCATATATTTCCATCAAATTAGCAGTGACAGAGCTGTGCCCTAGATTGCACAATGGAATCAATGCTCTGCTAATTGCTCAGGATTCTGAGAACTCCGAATGCTGGGCTCCGTAACCACCACTTCTACTCACCATGCTTCCTTTCTTCTCTTCCTACCTCCTCCCACCCACTCCTGCCAATGCCCCATAACTGGTCTTCTTAGCAAAGAGTTATTTTGACTCCCAAACCAATAAAGGAATGTAGTCAGCTTGCACACATAACCTAGCACTGTGGTTAAGAAAATAGGCCAGAGCATCACACCATTGGTTTGAAAGCCTGGTTCAACCATTTTACTAGTCGTGTAAGCTTTGGCAAGTTCATTAACCTCCCTGGACTTCCACCTATATATTTGCTAAATAGGGATAATAACAGTATTTGCCCTATAGGTTTGTTATGAGGATTAAATGATATAATCCTTATAAAGCGCTTACCAGAGTGCCCAGCACAAGGTAAGTACCTGTAAAAATAGTCATTCTCATGATTTTAGCCTTTGACCCCATTTAAAGTGGGAACTTTGAAAGCTTCCAGAGCAAGCATTGTTACCTTTATAGGGTTGAACGTCAATATCAGTGTGGGGTTGGGGTGACATAGTCCGTTGAAATGGTGCTGACCATTCCTCTTAGGTAGAGAGAAATGGAGAAGTTTGGGACGGAACCAATACAAACAACAGAGGTCAAAATCAGGCTTCCAGAGTCAGAATAAATTGCAGAGGTGATCCATTTTGACTTTCCGTGAAAAGTCCAAAATCCTTCTGCAAGATTGCTGAGCAGTTCTCCCTACATCTTCCAAAGGCAAGCTGGGTCTTCCCGTCTTAGATGAGTATATGATATATGACATCCTGAACCCCCACTTACTGGTCTTGGTTCTGTCTTCTGGAATAATGCCATGTAATGCTGCTGCTGACAGTCCTTCAACCCTCTCAAACTTGTCTTTCCCACTCCACCTCTTCCCACCATTGGGGGTCCACGCATCATCTTAGTCACTCTGAGTGTGATCCACTTGAGTGGCCTTTTTAAAAAGCAGAACCCAGCACTGAAATGTTATATCCTAGAACTTGTCAGGCCAATGCAGGGTGCAGTGAGTCAGAGGTGATCTTCTAGGTTCTAGAAAATTCTAAGAACACTTTCCAGGGTAAATTTAGCTTTGGGCAGTTGTCTTTCACTGTGATCTCGCCTTGAGCTTGTGAGCAGAAGGAGCTCCCAGATCTTGCCCACTTGCACTGGCTGTTAACCTAGATGTGCCCATCCTCACTGTGTCACCACCTAGTTGTGACTCAATCTTTTGGTCAAGTGACAGGCCAGATGGCAGGAGTTTTCAAGGTGCTTTTCCACCCAGCTCACTGAATGAGTAGCTTACGTGGTAAGATTCTCATTTTCCTGGGATGCCAAAACAAACTCTCCTTCTATTGTCAGGTGAAGCTATCTGGAACTAGGTCCCTAATTTGGATGTTATAAAGAAAGCAAGGCGGGTATCGTGCTGAGCGTTGCCTTAGCTATAGGGCTAGGAGGGAAAAACACTTAAAGCGTTTTGCTTCAGCAATTGCAACAGCAGTGTAGATTCTGTTTTCCACTTTGAAACAATCCAGCAGCTTCCTCTAGGAGTAGAGGGGTTATTCCACTCTCCCAATAGTCTGCTGGCTGCACCCTGGGTGATGGAGCTAGGAGAGGCATGTCGGACTGAATTGGGGACCACAGCGTGGTCCCTAGTTCCCACATTTTGAAATGGTCTCTTGAAATATGACAAGTCTCAGAAAATAACAAAAAATAAATAAGCGCCACTGTTAATCTGTCACTTCAATGTGCACATTGAGTTAGTCAATCACTTGTGATTAAGAACATTCTTGTTTAATGACTGCAACCATGTAAATGGTGGAGAAGACCGACGTATTGGAAGAATACATCTAATTTCTAGGTGACTTGAGCCCAGGAGCCCTAGCCAGACTTGCAATCAGTGAAATAATGTAAGAGTTGCTAGAAGGTGATTCTGAGGCCTCTCGGCAAATTCCCTGAATTTGAACCACAAGGGGGTTAAAATTTATTTTAACCAGATATCCTTGCTGCCACTGTTAATTTATTGCAGTTCTGCAAAGCTGCAAGTCCATGAACCTCAATATTTTAACTAGTGTCCTGATTTAAGCTTTATGCTTCTATTATACAAAATCACCATCATAAAAAGATTTCTGCAAGGTAGGTGAAGGCAAAGGTTATTTCCATTTTGAAGATAGGGGAATTGAGGTCCAAAAGGCTGATTTGCCCATAGCGTGTCCCAACTAGTGGAAGGAGCTAGGATTGGCTCAGGATCCTTGTCCTCCCATCACGATGCTTTTGTCTCTGGAAGTCAAACTCAGGGAGTAAAGATCATTGCTAGAGGTGAATGACCACAGGAGTCAAAGAATGGAGAAATCAGCCTCGTTTGGGTAAGTCAACCAAAAACACTGCTATTGATTTCTGATAACTCACCCAGAACTGTCTGATGAAGATGACCTTTGAAGACCATACATGCCAGGCCCATGACCAAAGTCATGGCCATGACTTCTGTACTCAAGTCATGGCCATGCACTTAGAGTTGAAACCACAGTTTCAACTGGATCCATCTCTATAGCCTCTGGATCACCTTCAACTCCTGTCCCCCTTCCTACTCCCCCCACTTCACTTCAACTCCTACTCCCTTCCTACCTCCCCCACCGCCACATCTCCCCTTTCCTCAGGCACATTGGCTTCCTTGCTGTCCTGCCGGCCACACTTGCACCTCTGGGCCTTTACTTTGGCTGAAACAGTCTTCTGCATGCACTACAGAAGTGTTTCTTTGTATCACTACTTGGCCTGGAAGCCCAGCCTCTGTCACCTTCCTCAAACCTTGGATCACATGTCACATCCTTCAGCAGGCCTCCCCAACTACTCTATTTACAATGGCAGCTTACCGCCCCCCCCACCCCATGTCTTGCACTCCCAATCCACCTTACCCTGCTTCAGTTTTCTATATTATGTATTATAGTCTATTCTAACAAACATAGTTTACTTCCCTAATATCTATGGTCTGTTCCCTTTGCTAGAGTGTCGGGGGGTCGGAGACAGCGATCTGTGCTTTGCTACCCAATAATCCCTATAGACAAAACATCCTGCCATAGAGACTAGCCCAAAAGAGAGAGCAGTGCCTGACACATAGTAGGTGAGCAATGAGTTATTATTGTTAACTGTACTGGGAATCAGATCATAAACATTCCATCCCAGGCTGGGATCAGCTCAGACAGTAGAGGAATAAGTACAAAGCAGTTATGCATGTGTCTGGTGCGCATGCCCTTGATGATTCAGTGATGCACAGTGCTTCGGCATTCCTGGACTCTGCTCTTTTTTCGGTCAGACAAGTCTTGTTCCTCTTTGGCGCAGATGAGACATACAGTATGTGTCTCACTGAGACTGGCAAATCCAGACATGTGATGTCCTCATCCCTTCTAAGATGGTGCCAGCGTTCTAGGAGGGGCAGCTTCTCTGGTCCTGGGGGTTTCTCACTGTGGTCTCATATACCTGTGCCCTTTGGATTGATCTCTACCCCCACCCCATCCCAACTCATCGGCTCCTGTCAGACCCAACTGCTCAGTCTGAGAGGTCATAATGCCCAGTGTCAATTTCCTTCCAAAGAATGCCAAGTTCTCCATTAAGAAAGAAGCCCCCTTTGTCCTGGAGACACACGAGATCGGTTCAGATCTGTTTGCAGGAGTAGAAGCCAAAGGGTTAAGCGTTAGGTAAGTACATTTCCTCCATGTTTATATTTTTAAAGACAAAAAAAAGGAAAAAAGACTAGCCAAGAGACTTTTCAATCACCAGATGTTTTGAGGCATACAACCCTCTGGCTCAAAGCGATGTCCTTGGTTTCATTTCCAGGTTCAAAGTGGTTTTGAACAGCTGCTGGGCCACACCTTCAGCCGATTTCATGTATCCCTTGCAGTGGCAGCTGATCAACAAGGGGTAAGTACTGCTCTCTGGCACACAGGCCTGAGAGATGGGGCCAGGAAGATCCTGGACTACTCTGGCTTGACAGAGCCTGGGAGGAAGAGGTGGAGACCCTGTAGTTAATTAGTGACATTCTCTGTGCTTCCTGGCTGAGTCCTGATGCTAGCAAATGTTTCTGTAGTGATTTCTGGTACCAAGTACTGTTCTGAGAGTTTTATTATATATTAACTCATTTGCCTTACAATAGGTAGATATTGTTCCTACCATCCCCATTTCCCAGATGAGAAAACTGAGTCACAGGCGGGGTTAAGTCTTGTCACGTAGTTGGTGTAGGGGGAGGGAGAGTGTGTTTAAATCCAATCTGTCTGATACAAGAACCCTGGTGGGGACTAAATTAGATAATCCATGTAAAAAACTTAGCACAGAGTACCCAGTCAGTATCCAACTGATTTAAATAATATCAGTTTTTATTATTCATTCGGTAGATAACAAAGAGCTCTTAACATTTGTGAGTAGAGAACCTAAGTATTGGAATTGCACAATGAAAAGGGAATTCTGAAAGTCATGCACAGGATGGTTTAGAAACAGTACAGGGGAGGGGAAAGACTAGATTAGAGGCAGGGGCAGCTACTGAGCCAAGTGTGACAAAACCTGAACTGAGGTGCAGCCAGTGAATGGAGAGGTCATCCAAGGAAGGGAGAAATGACCAAAATTTAGCCACCTATTGGTTATGTTGTGCAGAGAAGGACAGGACAAGAATTTTGAGGAACGTGTGACAAAGATGGCTTTGTCCTGTTGAGTCCATGATTGAGAAGGTAAAGAATTGTTTATTGTTGGTGGCAGGGGATCAGGGCTTTCTGGATAAGGGACTCAGGACTCTTCTTGAGCACAAGGATGACATGTTAAGATTGAAATGACAACTGTCCAGAAACACTCACAATTATAACTTTGGAAAAAAGAGGTCAGGTGGAGCTAGACCAGAGACGTGAGCACCACCCCCATGATGAACAGTAAACATAGCAGAGGCCGTTCCCCAAACCCAAGCAGACCAGTGCGCTCTTGTTATTTCCAGAACCCATCAGGGCTTGAGTAAACAATGGGGCCAGGGACAAAAGTGATTAGATAGCAAAGGCTGAGCCACTTTGGATCTTCAACTATTTATTTTTATTTAACAAACACTTGTAAAGGTACTTAACAACATACCAAAACGCTCTAGCTAGGAGCTTTACAAATATTAATTCATTTACGTTGCTTCAAACCCCTATTAAGGCATGTAATAACCTCTATTTTATGGATGAGAAAACTGAGGTACAGACAGGTTTTGAAAGTTGCCCAAAGTCTAGAGCAGTAGGACAGACAACTGGGGTCCAAGCTCAGGTAGCATGGTCTCCTGGGTGGCATGACTAGGACAGGCCAGCAGAGCCACCTCTGAGCGACCCGCCCAGCTTCCTGCAGAGAAAGGAGCCTAGTTTGGGTGCTTACTTCACATCTGTTGTTGAGTGATTCATTTAGGTTCTGTTGATAATGGATCAAATGGCCTCTGGGACAGCTGAAGTAAATCATTGACTTACCAGGACCTAAAATTACTGCCAGATAATGGGAACTTCTCTCAGATAACAGGCACCTGGGAAAAGGCTTCTGCCTACCTGCAGGTAGTTCTGGGGCTTTTGCTTGCCTAATAGATGTGTAATATAAAAGAAAAAGAAATGCTTGTGGCTTTGGGGTTGTCTGTACAAGTGCCCCTCAAACTCAAGTGTACACAGAAATCACCAAGGGTGCCTGTTGCACATGCAGAAGGTCCCTGGGTGACCCAGGGAATCTGCATTTAAACACAGTCATACGGAAGGAGTCCTGATCTATTTCCATGACCTGCCTAGTTGAAATGGCCCTTGAGGTTGGGGCCACATGCACAAAGACCTGTGCCAACAGCGAGAACAAGGAAGTCCACTCCCACAACCTGCCAGATGCTTTTGGGTCACACTGGGCCCTTCTGGAGGAAACCAGTTTTCAAGTGTGCGTGGAGAGATAAGAGTAGATGTCTTATCAGAAGTTTGACCCTATGTGGGGACGGAGACTCCCGTGGCAGTGGCGGGAAAACCTCCCTGTGGGCATCCCACCGTCCAGAAGTGTCTGTCACAGAGGCACAGATGCCACGGCCATTGCCAAGCGGCAGCAGTGCCAAGGCATCTAGTCCTGCCCATTACTTGCCTCCTCCCCGCCCCTGACAAAGCTCTGCTTACCCTGTTTTCCACTGGCTGACGCCCCGTCTTGGGCACTCCAGCTTCAAGGAGCTATTTTAAGAGCTCACGTCTTGAGTTTGTACAGGAACCTCGGGTTTACGGACCAAGTGATCCTCCAAGAGTCTTGTTTCACAACCCTGAAAATGACCTCAGCTCTGTCCCTGCTCAGAGGCCACCACAGACGAGGCCGGCTTCTGACCCTGGTCCCGACAGAAGGCACAGTGTTTGCTCCTTGTTTCACTCACTCACTATCACAGTCAACACTCCTTCAGTGCTGTCTCTCATTTGGCCCGTCATGTCTGGTTCTGATGAGATGGGGTGGGGGAGGGGACACCATGACGCTCCTCTGGGGTAGCTGAGCTGCTCTCTGGTGCGCGTGGAGTTGGACTGATAATAGAGGCAGAGACATGCTCCGGGAGGTGTGTTAACGTTGAGGCCCACTGTGGTATGGTCCAGTGGTCTTAAGCTTTTGAACGCATAGGCCTTTTCCACAAAGGACAGATCTTGGTGCTGCTGTCACCTGCAGAAAACGAACGCCACACTCATGTGGACCTCATTGTGCATTCCCAAGAACAACTGTATTTATTCCCAACAGCTGGTTGAATGTCTAGCACTTAAATAGGGAATCAGCATGTGTTTGGTAAATGGAAAAGTATTTTGCTTAAACCACGGTTTCTCAATCTCAACAGCATTGACCTTTTGGGCTGGATCATTCTTCGTTGTGGGGGGCGGGGGCGGGGGCGGAGGCGTGTGTCTGCATTGCACAATGCCGCACAGCATCCCTGGCCTCTGCCCGGTGGATGTCAGGAACGCCTTCCCCAAGTCATGACATCCACAATGCCAAATGGCCCCCAGCTGAAAACAAATGGCTTCAACAAATGCCCATCTGTGTCATTATTTTTTTTTTTTTTTACTGCAACTGTTACATTTGGGACTTATACATAAAAATACAAAGAAGAAAAAAAAAACCCGTCCATAATTCTGCCACTGCACAATAGCCACGGTTAACATTTAGATGCTCTCCTTCCAGTCATTTGTTTCTGTTCTCGTATGAAAAATATGACCATATTTTTGCAAGAAAATTATATAATAAATATAGAATTTAAATAGTATAACGTAAATTCACATTCCCAGTGGCAAAACCTCACAACACACACAGAGAAGTGTAACTTGGACTTCGGTGGCCACAGCAGCACTTTGAGAGATGCTGTCCCAGCCCCATTGTCTTTATCGTGTATGCATCCTGGGTGTCTGTACACATCCGAGTCCTCTGGCGGGGCGGGGGCCTTTATCTCAGAGAGGTCACCCCTTTGGGAAAGATGTGTGGTACCTTACCACCTGTGTGACTTCTCATAAGTCTCTCCCCTCACCCCTCGCTACCGCCTGACTTTGGAGTGGGGAGGACCACGCCCATCTCATAGCTCCTCACCTTGACCGCATAGTCATGAGAGTGAGTGAGATGCTGCCAGGTCAAGGTGCTCCGGAAAGATGATGGGCTGTATACGGCCCAGGGGAGTGTCGTTGCTGTGCTTGAACATGTCTGAGAAGCTCTTGCTGGCTTTCATGAGTAACATTTTCTCTTTTCTCACCCTCTCCACCCCTCCCCCGCCCCACACCCCATCCCCCCACCCCCTGTGCTTCAGCTGCCCCACGGATGAAACAGTCTTTGTGCATGAGAACGGGAAAGATCACAGGGCAACCTTCCAATTCAATGCTTTCCGGTTCCAGAACATCCCCAAACTCTCCAAGGTTTGGTTACACTGTGAGACGTTCATCTGTGACAGCGAGAAGCTCTCCTGCCCGGTGGTGAGCCCCCTCTCTCTCCAGGACCAGAAAGTTGCCCCAGGGGAGGGGGGCTAATATTTGAGAAGCTGTATTTTTGGCTGGGATACGGTAACCAGGCCAGAGTAGGGGAGTGCTGAGGACGATCTGAAGGAAAGGACACTGAATATGGGGCAGATATTCTGGGCCCTGTCCATTCTGCCACCAAGTGACGACGTCTGGCACATGTCACTTGACCTCTGGAGCCTGGTTTTCTCATCTTTAAAGGTAGAGTGGTGACAAGTAATAGTGGCCCTTTGTTTTTCAGTAATGTTAAGTAAAATAAAAGTGATACCAGACATGGAAATGCTTTGAAAAAGTTAAAAGCACAAGGGAAATTTAAAATCTCCGTGGTAGCGAAAGGTTCTGGATGGAAGTCAAAACGTGGGTATTTTTAGTTAGTGACTAGCCAGCTTCTCCTCCTCCCCCCCGCCTCCCCCTAGAAGTTTCAACGCCATCAGTCAACAGGTGTAGCAGATTTAGGTGAGAGACAGTTTTCCATTGCGACCTGAGGTGACCCCGGTCCTGTGAGCCGTAGTTCTAAAGTGGCATCCATGGCACTCCAGCATCACCTGGGGATTGGGAGGGATACAAATTCTCAGGCCGCCGAGACCACCTGATTAGAAACTCCGTGTGGGCCCCACAATCTGTACTTTCACAAGCACTTCGGGTGATTCTGAATTATCCTCAAGTTAGAGAACCTCTTCCCTAAAGACCTTAACATTGTTACATCCCAAACGCTTACCTCCTCGGGTCTATTGGGCCTAAGAAGCTCCATGAGGAAGGACGCAGTATTTGTAAAGAGGGCACGGCTCTTGTCGCCCGTAGCAACCAACAGACATGCAATTATAACCTCTAGTTCTGCTGATTCACTTGCCCAGCAAACGGTCACTTCAGGGCGCCAGTAGAGAAAGAGAAGGGAGCAGGAGACATTCAACAGTCGGCGAAAGGATAATTATTGGCATGGCATTTGAAAAAGGAAAGAAACACATTTTGTAAGTGTCCACTCCTCAGATCATTGTGGTGAGAGTAACTGCAGGGAAAAGCCTTAATTCTTATTAAAAAAAAAAAAAAATTGTCACGCCCTCCCACACCCAGGGACTTCTCCCAGCAGGATTCCCTCCAGCATAAAGAGGTGATAAAGTAACACTCTCCTCCTTTGCTCAAGTTAAAGAAGGGACGTGAAACGTCTCTAGGCTATTTTAAAAAATAAGGTCATTGATATCTGTTAGCTGCGGAATTTTGACTCTAGCGAGTGTGACTGTTTCTTTCATGTCTCACCTGTCTTTTCTCTTTTGTGCTCACCTCTTCTCCCACCCCCTGCCTCCCCTCACCTCTGCTTCCCCCTCCCCCCGCCCCGCCCCCGCCGCCCGCCCTCGCCCTCGCCCTCGCCCTCGCCCTCGCCCTCGCCGCCCGCCCCCGCCCTCGCCCTCGCCGCCCGCCCCGGTGTGCAGATTTGTGACAAAAGGAAGCGCCTCCTCCGGGAGCAGACAGGGGGCGTCCTCGTCGTGGAGCTCGCTCTCCGCAGTAAGCGTCTCTGTTTCCCACGCGGCCGCGTCCGCTCCGGGCTGCGTCCACAGGCACAGGCGGTTGGAGCATTTTAACTGAATTGCCAAACCAGTTGTGCCTGTAGACACAACCTTCCTCTGCAACTCCAGTCTTCTTAATTAACTGTGGGGCTGGGGCCGGGGCTGGGGCCGGGGCGGGGCCGGGGCCGGGGTTGCTCATGCCAAACCAAGGAGCAAAGGTCGGTCAACTCTCCTGAAAAGCTCTACCTATGGCCAAAATTCCAATCCTCACCCCCCAACCCCCGCGGCCCCCAAGCTTCCAGAGGGAGAATGCTGACAGCAATAATAATTGAAAATGAATTTTATCGGGACCATCTAGTGCAAATCAACAAAATTTTATTGAGCAGCCAGAACTGGGCCTATACTGAGCAGTGGGGTTTCAGAAATAGAGGAGCCTACCACCTCCCCCTCCCCTACCCAAGGGCTTTGTCTTAAAGAACTTACCATCTTGCAAGATGTTAAATGCTAAGGGAAAGGGAGAGACTGCCTATGGTGGTGGTGGAGGGGCCCATGTGGATGTATGACTAGGGATTCCACCCAATCCAGGGTTTAGGGAAGACCTCTGAAGGTCACGGGGAGGGGCAGTAAGCCAGGCTGCCATGGGATTTTGGACGGCCCGCACACTAAGAACCTTTTTATGTGGTTGAGAAAAGACAAAGACGACTACTTCGTGCCAGAAGAATTATGTGAAGTTCACATCTCAGTGTCTGTAAACAAAGTTTTTCTAAACATGGCCACACCTGTTCAGGTAGGTGTTGTCTCCAGCTGCTTTCACGCTACATCAGCAGTGGCGTGTGGCTCAGTTAAGACCATCTGGCCTGCCCAGCTGAAAATATGTACAATCTGGCCCTTTCCAGAAAGTTGACCAACCCCTGAGGAGAACAGGGCGTGAGATGAAGGTAAACCCCGCTGTCAACTCTGTTCTAAAGGCAGCAGAGGGCCCTTTGGTTTAATCCGGGGAAGACATAGTCAGGTTTGTGTTTTAGAGACATAGCTCTGGGACTGCTGCCCTGATATTTTCTTAAACCTCTGGCACTCTCTCTCTTTATTCACTACAGGCAGGGGATTCTGGAGTCTCTATAGCTTCTCAGGTAAGGAAAAGAGGCACCTCTGAGAAACGTCAACGAGCAATGCTTTTAATACAGACGTGTGTTTTAAAAGCAGCTTACCTTTGGCCCCAGCGAAGCCTGTGAGAATTGAACATTACTCTTTCAAGCGCACCTGAATGGGCAGAGGGCCTGGAGGTAGAGCAGTCTTTCTCCAGCCAGCCCCTGAGCTCTGAAGTGGGCGGTGGCGGGGGGGGGGGGGGGGGCAGGGGTAAATTGCAGGAAGCAGAACTGAATCCTACTCCCCAAGGCTCAGCAAAGGCATCACCAGGTGGCTTTGCTTGGTTCCCTCATTTAGAGAACGAATCAGTGGTTTTCAATGATCCATTCGTTCAACAAATATTTGAGTTCCTGCTATGATTGTCCTTCATTAACTGAGTGACAATGGGAAATGACCTCACCCTTGTAGTCCCGTTTCCTGTATGAAATAGTCTAGTAATTGCCCCTATCACACATGGCTGTTGTTTGGATTAAATATTACAGCTAAGGGCACCAAACAATGCCCACCACACAGCAAACATCAGTAATGATCAGCCATAATTACTGTAACACTGGATCAGGCACTGTTCTAGGCTGTATAGTTCTTACGGTAAGGCTGGCAAGGTCCCTGCCCTTCCCTAAGTGGTGGGCTGGGGGAGGGAGAAAAATGACTGAGCAGCCAGGGAAGCCTCCCAGAGGAAGAAACATGTCAGCCAAGGCCCAAGATCTCAGCTGAATGATGAGAAGGAGGCAAATGCACGCAGCTGGGGTAAGACGCTTCTATTTGTTAACAAGCTCACAGATGCAGGCTGCTCTTGCAATTGCAGGGAATCACATAAACCAACTGTTTAAGACTCCAATCCCAGATTCTCAGTTTTAAAAAGAGGTTCTCCAGCTAGAGCCCTACCATGAAATACACCATCAGTGTATTATCAAAGTTCAGTGGTCCCAACCTTTCGTATTCCCATCTGTCAGCGGTCCGTATCCCAGGTTTATCAGTTGGATCCTTTGTACTGATGAAAGGCAGCTACAAAACCCCAAAGGATGGACTAAGTGGCTTAGTGTAAAATGTGTAGAGTATATGGAAAGCTACTTCACGCCCCTAGGCTGACCCTTTGGTTGAGTCAACCCTCTTGTTGAGCAGCCCTTTCCCCGGCAGAACTGTTTCTGAGCCTGCTGCCTCCTTTGTCTGGTCCACAGATGTCCTCTACCACCTCATCGTGATGCTGGGGATTTGTGCCGTCTTGTAGGAGAAGCTAGCCAGGCAGGCAGCGGTGGCTCCTGCATCTAAGGTCATCTCTGATGATGACAAACTCACTTTTTTTGTGTGCTGCCAAAAAGAACAGACATAAGACCATATTGTTGGGGGAAAGGCAATAGCATTTTACCAAATATGTGTTCCAATGGTTTTTGTGAATTTTGGTGATTGTTTTTCTTCGGTGCCCCACTTTCTCTTGTGACTTCCTCTTGTTACTTCCTGTGGCTCTTAGCTCCCGCAGTCCCCTCCTGCAACTGGCAGAGGAGTCTTCAATCCCTAAACTCAAGTCAGAGCTCTGGTGGACTCTTTGAAATCTATTCTAATTTTAAAAGGCTAGCACAGCCAAGCAAGTGCATCTGAGCATTTTGGGGAGAATGTAGGGCAGAACCACAAAGTCAGTGCTGAGTACAGAATGCACAGGAATAGCCAACTTTGCCAAAGGGGCCTTTGCATTGATGCTGTTGATTCTAATCTGAGGATCAGAGCTGAGCCTCAGGGGTTCCAAGCTTTCAAACGGTGGTGGATAGTGCAAGAATCAGAGTGGACCCGTTTGTGCTCAAATCTGAATAATAAAAAGGGATGCAATTCTGGAGATCCCTGAGTGCTAACCCAATTAATTTTATAATAGGGTTTTTAAAATATGTGTAAACATTTTGTAGGTATAAACTCATTTTTTGGCGGATGCATATTTCTAAAATCAAAAGAAAATTATACATTGCATAGGAATAAAGCTACAAAAAGAATAAAACTCACTGCAACATTTATTTAACATGATGTGACATGTACTAAATAGGGCTGCTGCTTACAACAGGACTAGAGAGTGACAGTATGACAGGGTCTCTGAAGCTTGTCCACCCCATCCTGTCATAGGCCTTGTGGTGCTCAATGTTCTTTTTTGTTGTCCTATTTTCTCCACTAAGAAATCCTCATTTGTACAGAATGGTCTGACCTCATTTAGCCTCTACTTTCAGCATTCAAACCCGCATCTGTTTTGTCTCAACAACTTATGATCGTTAGCATGAAATCAACAAAAAAATCAGAAACACACATGCAAATTTGGCCAATGACATCTCATGGTGCCACACCCTCATAACACTGCCACCCACCCCACCCCCTTCCCCAGTAACCCAAAATAGGTTGATAGTAGTAATTTATATTGTCAACAAAACAAAAACTGAATGAACCCATCCTGGTTGAAAACTGGCAGTTTTCCTGAGAATGCACTGTAGGCTCCCATTTGAGGCTCGAAGCTAGAGCCAGACAGGAAAAGTCAGAGCTAAGTTTTTTTCCTTCGTCTTACACAGACTTGATTAGTGGGCTTCTAATTTGTGTCTCTATATCGTATGTATTTGAGAAGATTTGAGGTCTTTAATTTGATGGTTATTTTACTGCTGTGTTAAGGAGCTCAGAAATGAAGCTAGTTCTCAAGTCTCTGGAGAAGCAGAGTACATGTTTGTTTAGCAATAGGCTAGATTAAAATGACTCCGTGTAATCTAAACTGGTCTCAAATCTTGTCTCACACCAGTTGGCATTTCTTCTTCCTGTAAATTTAGAATTTGTAGTCAGGAAGGAGAGAAAACATATTTTATTGGTTCTTGTGAAAAACTCTTAAATAGCATGCTCAGAGCCATAATCAAAATCCTTGGTTGTCGGAGTAAAACAATGTTGTATTAGTTTTGCTTTACTTTATCATAATGTTTAATGATCTTGTATCTCTATCTGGTGCTATGGAATAAATAAAATGCCTTAAAAGAAATGACCTATGACTAAGCTTACTGTGTTAATACATCACGTTGATAGCTAATTAACTGCATGTGTTTTGACTTAAAGTTAACAGCCCCATGGTGTCTGGTTGCTCTCCGTGTCTCATACCTTCTCTATTAAGGTGTTAAGAAAAAGTACTCTCAATACAGTCTCTCTTGAAAAATTCCCATTAGTGCTAAACATAAAAGAAACATTTAGAGGAGGAAAAAGTACGTTCTCCCTTAGGTATCATTGGTTGACGTAGAAAAAACACTGGATATAGATTCTAGAAAATTGCTTTTATCACACACATATATATTGAGAATACACATCACATAAATCCCTATTAATCAATTTATAAATAGAGCTGAGACAGAGATACATTTATGTGTGTGCTCAGTATATATGTATACATATATGTGCACGTATATTACATAATAGGCATGTATGTGCATGTGATGCCTGTGTATGTGTATTCACATTTGTGTGTGTGTGTATATGCCAAATGTTTATGTTAAAATGTTCAGTGAAAAAGGCAGAAGTAGCAAAGTTACTATGACAGGAACATGACTTATGTAAGCATGTGGGCTAGGGCTGGAAGAACACACACACACTCTCTAAAAATACAAAGATGGGATAATAATAGACAATTGCCATTTCCTGCCCCATTCCTACAGCTGTGTATCATTTTCTAATGCTTTTAATACATTATTGAATTGCTTAGGTACTTCCACGTGTTTGTACATACCTCCACTAGTCCTTAATGCACTGCATTACTATTATTGGTGCCTCCTTTCTCCAACTAAACTGAAAGCTAAAGACCAATTAAAGTTACATATTTTCTTGTGTCCCCCAATGTGGTACTTGGCACATAGTAAGTGCTCAATAATTCCCCTTGAATTAATGGATGGGTAGACAGATGAACAGACGGATGGATGGATGGATGCGGACTGGTCTCTCTTTCTAAGAGACCTCATAGTAGAACTTGCCTATTCCCTTCATGGTGGAGCATAGTGTTTAGGATCTAGAGCCCTCATCCCAAACAAGGAAAGGAGTTACGAGGCATAAGAAGATAAATTTTGGCCCATGGTCTCATGTTGGAGTAGCAGGGGGAGCTCCCCTGTCCCCTTCATATAAATGCCTTCTGTCTGCCCCGCTTTTGAGCATCAGTCAGTCAAATGCTTTCCATCTTTGATGCTGAAGGCCATTGGGGAGGAGCCGAACCTACCACAATTAAAATGGAATCGTGTTCCAGAAAGCAGAGTCTATGCAGGTTCCAGAGTTGGGCAGAAAAGTTCTGCCGATGGAAACACTTAGGAGCTCAATGGAGGTGGGACTGTTGGTTAAGCCCTTCCCTCGGCCACTATTTTATGTCTCTCTTATTGAAAAAAGGCAAAAATTCTACCAAACCTTTTGTAAAATTTGGTATTAAATGCTCTCAGTCGACCAATAGGTAGTTTATTTCCTTGTACAGAACTCCAAAATATCTCCTTCACAAAGGCAGCTCAGTGGTCAAGCTAAGAGACCCTCCCTGGTCTCATTGGTTTTCCCCTCTTCGGTCATGGGAAATTCAGTAGGAAAACGTCTCAAACACAATACATCATTCAAACTGCTCGCCAGATTCAGAGCAGCCACACAGAAGGTAATCTGGATGCAGCGGGTCTAAAGGGATAAAAAACGAACTGTAAATGCACTAGTGGTTCAGGGAAGCTATTACAAAAACCATTGACTAAAACAACATGGAATCCTATTCTCTGTGTAAAGGGGGAAATATTCATAGCAGAATGGATGGGCTCATTCATCTTTGTCTGCTGGAGATTACAAAAACAAAAAAATTAAACACATTATAAATGAATGAAAATTTCTACTTAAAAGCCAAGCTTTGATTGCATCCTTTGCTCAGTGGCTAGGAAAGAAAGTATGCAAAAACTGGAGAATGGGACATTGTGTATTTGGAAGCTGCCAGGCTCCCAGAGGTCAGAGCTCCAGAACAGGCCTTCCGGTGACTGATTGCAGGTGTTCTGTCTGCTTGGAGTGTCCTTGTCCTATTGGATTTCAGCAATCGCTCACACCTGAGGTAGAACTTTACCCCTTGAAAACATTCCTGAGATGCATTCTGATAGGAGCTCCTCTCTCCTTGCAGTTTGAGTAGCTGATTAGGAAAATAAGCACCAAAGGTTTGGAAGCAGCCACCTAACAAAGGCAGGCAGAACAGGGCTGGACCTGTGAGTGGCCCCAGGCTTTCTCCTCCAGCTTTCTCCTCTCCCAGGATCAAATTGCAAATTCACAAGCTAACAAGCTGGAATTATTTGGCAGCTAGGACAGTCTTACTGGCAGCCCTGGCAATGAGCTCGCTATATCCAGCTCATCCAACTCTGCATTTGCTCCAGGCCAGCTAGATGGAGCCCCCTACTGGAAGCCTGACTCAATACCCAGGAACAACACCCCAAAATGGTATCTATAATGCACCATACAGGCTTTCCTGGGACCTCCCCCTAAACATCTTTAAAGAAAATACCTCAAAAGATCTCTGGGATGTCAGCCTCTTCATCAGTAAATTCAGGGAGTGGAAAAGTGAAGCCTTCTTTGCTTTTCAACCAGAAAGTTGTTTGTTCTCCTTTGCCCTGTAGGAGGCAAACGCGACCGCTGGTGAAGCACAGGGGAGGAGGGGCCCCCAGCAAAGTGTGGCCTCTGAGCAGACAAGCCGGGCCTCCTTGGCTTGTTTACTGGAAACGTTGTTCGTAGCCAGAACTGCAACTAGCCAGGAGCTGCTTCATTGCGGAGAAGGCCTTACTGTAGGTGAAATCTTGATGATTTGCTTGGCTTTTGCTGGTAAGCCTAGGCAGTCCGTGATGGCCTGCGGGGTAAGGGCTAGTGCAGGCTAAAGTCTGGTGCAAAGAGCATCTTTAAAAAGATATAATAAATGCTTTGAGGTCACACTATGAGTAGGGCACCAGGAGAAGCGCCTCACACACATGTTCACATGTAATCCTTGCTTCCACCCTGAGAGGACAATATTATCACTGCCCCTGTTTTGCAGACGATAAAACCAGCCCCCCTAATCAGACAGCCAGTAGGTTGTGGGACAGCATTCACAGCTAGGTCTACACCGCCGCTGCCCAGAAAAACCTTCCTCTTCTCTGAGGTCAGTTACTCAGATACAGCTACCAGGGCCAGGCTCCGCAAACGGAGGCGTTAACGGCACCTTCTCCCCTTTTCCTTCTTTCCTGGACCCCCACAGCCCCCCCCCCCAAACACCTGGCATCATAGTAACCACCTATCCCTACCACTGCGAACAGTTTCGAGGTTTTCTTGAGAACATCTCAAGAGGAGAACCCCTCCCCCACCCAGAAAGGGTGACATTTATCAGAAAGTTGAGAATGTGTCATGGTACTTTGCAGCGACAGACTGAAGGCCAGCAAGGAGGAGAAGGCAGAGGGAAGAGGGAGAGGTATTTAAATGTACGGAGATGAAGGCCTACTACCCTCAGACCACTGGGCTTTTGTCCCCTCTACCTGGGCACTCTAGACTTGAGAGAAGGGACAGAGGGGAGTATGGGCACTATAATTCCTGGGTGTGTATTTGCTGTTGCCTTGATGGGACGAGACCAGACTGGGGTGCTGACGCGGAAACCAGGAGGCCACCTGTGGCCATGAGAAAGGAAGCATCCCACCAGGGTTGGTCCGGGTGGGAGACAAGGCGTTTCCTGCCACAGGTTCCATGTCTGACCATTTAAGGAATGGAACAGTCTCCCCTGCAGGAAGAAGACCTGGCTGTCACAGGAGCCTGCACACAGACCTTAGGGGTCGGCATGCACCACAACACAGGGACTCGGCATCCCGCCCAGTTCCTCAGCGCCTCCGCCAGAGACCCAGATGGGGCAGGTGGGCACGGGGCCCGGTCTTACCTTGACTGCAATGGTGCCTCTCTTTTGCAGCTTGTACCCTCCCACTGCCAGCAGGCCGTCCGCGGTGCTCCGAGAGACGTGAATCCGGAGAGCTGCCAGAAACCCGGTATCGTCTTGTTATCACCCCAGCTGTGACCCTGGCACCGTGCCGGCGGGGCTGGGTGGCTGTGGAGGGGGAGCGCTGCACCGCTCAAGTTCCTCGGCTGCCGGCCAGTCACAGGCAGCCCCTCTGACGTCCGGCACCCTCGAGCTGGGCGCCCCAACCACCCAGGCATGGCTCAGTCACTGGTGGGTGCTGCTCACCCCTTAATATGATCGGTATAGAACCAGGAAATAGGACTGACTCCATAGGCAAGTGGGTACTCCCTGTGGCTGGGCTCCCACTTGTAAAATTTATCCTTAAAATCTTTCCTGTCAAACTAAAAGAGGTTTTTATCAATGCAATAAAATTACTGTAAAGCAAAAGAATTTCTGTCCCCTGGAGTTCCTGGCCATAGGTTTCTTCCGCATCACCCAAACTATATGTCAGAGACAGGCGAACGACCACCTAGAGGCCAAATCCAGCCTGCCACCTGTGTTCACAAATAAAATTTTACTGGAACATGGCCACACCCATCATTTACATATTGAAAATGGCTGCTGTCACACACAACCGAAGTTGAGCAGTTGCAGCAGAGACTATGGCCAATAAAACCTAAAATATTTACTGTCTGGGCCTGTACAGGACAAGTGTGCCGACCCCTGCTCTTCATTTAATCGATCTCATTAAATGTGCCAGACAGTTGAGAACGCATAGTTCTGGAAGAAGGCAGTGTGATTCCATGGCTCCATGGGGAGCGCAGAGCAAAAGCCTGTCTCCAAAGCATGTGGCCAGTGTTGCCTGAAGTGGGTAATGATCTTACCCTGGTAATGAAAACCAGCAGGCAGAATGCAAATGGGTCTTCTAAAAATACCCCTGGGTTAAAGATAGGGGACTGGAGGGACAGGGATACTGTGTCTGCAAAGGGCTGTAAGTGATACCCACGCAAACTGCTGCTTTCCATTCTGGATGCCACGTTCACGGTGTCTCCAAACAGACAGTATCTGGGCATGGTGATCCCCACCACACCAGCCACCACAGGGCCTGCAAAGGGAAGGATCAATGGGCGAAAGCCAGTCCTGGACTGCATGATGCACATCAGGTCAACAAATGCAATTCACTTGAATATCTGTTAAGTGCCCTTGTGGGGCCAAGCCTGGCAAGAGAACTTAGGGTTTACAAAGAGGCAATCTACAGAGCCCGCGGGCTTCTGGGGCAAAACGGCATAATCAACTGTCATGAAGTGGATGTGTGTGTCTGTCCCGCATTCACGTGTTGAAGCCCTAACCCCCAGCAGGGTGGTATTTGGAGGTGGGCCTGTGGGAGGAAGTCAGGTTTAGGTGAGGTGATGAGAGTGAGCCCCCATGGCGGGATCGGTGCCCTGATAAGAAAAGGAAGAGACCCCAGAGCTTCCTCTTTCTACCACGTGAGGACACAGCCAGAGGCCGCCATCTGCAGGCTGGGAAGTGGCCCTCACCAGACCCAGAACATGCTGGAATCCTGACCTTAGACTCCCCAGCCTCGAGAACTGTGGGAAAAATGTCTGCTGTTTAAGCCATCCAGTCTATGGTGTGTTGTTATAACAACTGAGCTAACTAAGACAGAAATGAATGACAATATTATTCATGCACTAGAAATGTCAACAGCAGTGGCAGCACAAACACGGGACTAATTCATTCTGACAGGGTCAGGTTTAATCTTAGTGAAGCCGGAGAGGATCGGTGGGGGCAGGTGCAGCTACACAATTTGCAGGCCTCAATCAAAAATGAAAATAAGGGACCCCCTCATTGACAAATCATTAAGAATATCAAGAGAGTGACAGGAGATCACTAAACCAAGTGCAGGTCACTCCTACACAAGTCTCATCCTTATGAGCTTGACAAAAACAGAATAGATCGAAGGGCATTTGATGCAGAGGCGTGGAGGAAAAACAGCTCACTAGAACTCTCCTGGTTTGGGTCTTCTCATTTTTGGTTCACCTTGGAGTCTTTGTGTGTTCTTGTTGTTATGAAGCAATGTGACTAACTAGAAATATACCTGCAGTCTATAAGGCCATAAGGCCACCATAAGGCCACCCGCTGCCTACCTGTGTGGAGGCCAATCCGGATCTTGAGCTTCTCCTGAGGCATGTGCCCAATCTGGAAGTGGGTGGTGGCACTGAGGAAGTGCAAGGACATGGTGGCGATCTCGTCCACATGCCGAATTCCATTGCGGATGGGAAGTCCACTAGCCACCATGTATGCATCTCCAATGGTTTCAACCTGAAAATACAGCACCAGTGTGGCCTTGTGTTCTCCATGAGCGGGGGGTGGTTCAGAGGTAGATGTCTCCCATTACTGACCCTTGCTCTGAGGCCCCAGGCTTCGAAGGCTCATACTTCCTAACCTCCACTCCATCCAAGTCCTAGCATTTTCTCAAGTTTGCTCTTGTCCTGGTTCTTCCGCAAAGCATTCCTGCTGTGATCCCTCCTCCTCACAGTCACAGCTTCCTCCTCCAAAATCTGAGGTGGGTGGTGACCCTACTTTGCCAACCCAAGTTCAAAACCAGTTAGATGGAGTAAATCTTGAAGGATCACATGGATTCATCCAGTAGAATCCATCTAATCTATTCTCCTCTCTCCTCATCCTCCTAATAAAATCATCTTTCAGGTCCCTCGTTTACAACAGAGAATAAATGACATGTCTAAGCTTAACGTTACATCCAGTCCCTTCCAGATACACTTGCATTTTAGGAGAATCCAAAGATGATGTGGTAAAGGTAGAATTTCAGGCATTAGCAGGTGGTACAAACACCTCTGTCTCCTGGTTACCATGAAATTACAGAGCCAACTAGTACACAGGTCTAACTGCTTCTAAGCTACCCCTCTCCACCATGGGCACATCCTTTCAAAATACAACGGACTTCAGATTCGCTCATGCAGAGCATAACTGAGCAGGTAACCCTAAGAGGAAACCCCAGAGGAGGCCCTCCTGAGCCAGGCAGGTTCTGGTGGGTGTGTGTAATCTGCCCTTTGAGATTACCCATTCCATCCTTCCCTTCATCCTGCACAGGGGCTACGTCTCTGAGGAACCCAGGGCGAGGGGGGGGGGCATCACTGAGGATGTGTCACTGAGGAACATGACTACACTGTCCCCCAAATCTCCCTGGCCCCAGGGCCACAGCAGAGTCCTAGAATCATGGTCAGACCGGCGCTCTGTGGCTGCCCACCAGGTATGTGTGGACATGTGCCATGATCCGACCTCACCTGATAAGTCAGAAAACACAAGTGGCCATCACCAGCACCCGCCAAATGAAGGCACTTGATCAGTTTTTGTTATCCTCTCCCACAATCAGTTTCACCCTAGGTGACCCTGTTCATACATCCTGAGTGGCACCAAGCAGGTGGTTGCTGTCTCATCTTTCACTCCAAGTCTGACAGTCTAAACTTGGGATGTTATCTTCCTTTCAATTGCTAAGGATCACAGAAACAGAAGTGAGACTCACACAAGATCCAAAGACAACCTCTAAAGAGGAGTGGACCTTCTGAATCTCTTTGAATCTGCAGGCAATATATTCTGCAGGGAAATGGAGGAATAAGCCAGGAGAAGGTCAATGCCTCTTTTAGAAATGAGTTTACTGTAAGATAAAATTATGGAAGGAAACAGAGGGAACAGCTGATGCTTCTTGACAAGGGCACACATCTGTGATTAATCAAGCCCTTCTCCAAGAAAACAAACAGGAATAAAATATTGAGTTTCTGCCATGAAATGGGATAGACCGCCAGCCTGAAGCCGAGCTCTGCTCCTGGCTGGCGTCTCAGGCTGGGTTCAGCCTCACTTCAGTCCCAGGGGCCAGCCGGCAAGGGGCACATATTCCCTCACAGCCTGGGTGCCAGGCAGCTTACCTTGTACACATCGTGATTTTTAATGATGTTATCAAACAAACAGTAGAGGTCGTTGAGGAGCTTTACAACTTGCAAAGGGGAGCTGAGAGAACAGAGTTTTGTGAATCCAACAATGTCAGAGAAAAAGATGGTCACAGATTCAAAATGTTCTGGTTCCACAGACCTTCCCGCTTTGAGCTGATCTCCAATGAAGCTGAAATCAGAGAAAAGAATCATTATTTAACAGCATCATATTCATCTTTTCCCCTCCAGGCCCCTACAAAGTCACCCCAGTAGACCCTTCAGTGGGTTAGGTTTTTGATTAACAAAATCCACCATCTTAATGGATTCGTTTGACATCTGTTTTTCTACCTGCATTTTGCCAAAAGAGAGACTTTATTTGGGGTACAGGAGAAACAGGTCATATAAATGCCTTTACAAAAACATTTTTCTCCCTGAGGGTACTTTATTTTCCCCTTTGGTTATAGAGTTTGATTATAAATACTCGGTCTGCAGATGTGGAAGCAAATGTAAGCATTCACCAATCCATAAATCAATATTTTTACTGCAATCAACCCTTCTCACATATATATATATTCCGATCCTCAACCCCGTTTCTTTGTTCAAGACATAGGAAGGGTGCAGGAATTTTAACAGCAATGCTTCTTCCAAGCGTTTAGGGAGTGCACAGGTTAAAATAGAGTCAATAAGGAAATAAGTTTTGAATCTAAAGTCATTTGAATCTAAATACATATTGTATTGTGCAAAGGTTTTGGATGTACAACTGAAATGCCGGGAATGCAGCAATTGACTGGCTGTATGGAACTACACCGCCATCTAGCGGTCATTCTCCTGTTGGTGCACCCACCATCTTCCCCGCAAAAGACCTACTATTCATCACTACTCTCATCGCCCCAAGTCAAGTCTCCCTTCCATCACCATTTATCCTCCCTTGGCCCTTTACCTTGGGGTTGTCAACATACAACACAATATACAAATGACTATTAAAAAATCGTCTCCAAAGACCCCCATTCCTAACCGAAACACCAAGTGCTTGGATTTTGTAGTCATTTGACATGTATGAATGAATGAATGATCCAGAAGTAAAACATCTCATTTTGAGAATGTTTAGGTAGCATGTATTTTAAAGATTGAGAGCAAAAAGGTTGAATAAAGCAGGCCAAGTATATAAATAAACACCCAATTCAAACAAAAATACATAAAATTTCTAGAAAAAAATTAAAATTAAAAAATAAAAGACCTACACTATTCCTATGGATTCTAGGGTCCATGTCTCTCTCTCCTTTTATGAACGGTACCGAATTACATGCAAAATGCTTGACCCATTTTAAAAGAACCTGATAGACTCTTAGGAAAAAAGAACAAAGAAAATATTCTCTCCACTTGGAACCTGAGAGGGGTCGCTGCTGTTGCTTCCTGGGTCCCTTTGCCAAGGGCCCCAGTTTTCCGGCACACCTGGGCAGGATTGTGGACAGAAGCTTATCCACCTTCCTCTTCTCTGCCATCAGCTGGTTGGTCCTCTCTCCCACCACCTCCTCCAGGTGGTTTGCGTACACCTCCAGCTTGCTCACCATACTGTCTAGTATGCTCACGTGGCTTTAAAAGAACGCAGACGTTAACAGCTTTTACCAAGAACTTTAGGACCATAGTAGAGCACCACTTCCAACCTTACATTCCAAGAAAACGTCTCGCCCTTAAGGTTTCCTCCTTGAGGGTTGCCAATGGACGGCAGGGAAGGGACTGTGGCAATGAGGCCACGTGGCAGGACAGAGCCTGCCCTTTACCAGCTGTGTTCTTCCTGTGCCCTTTATGCCTCTGAATCTCAGTTTCTTTATCTGGGAAACGAGGATAATAATAGATACCTTGCAGGGTGGTTCTAAGGATTTGGGGACATCTTAGATACAAGGTACCCAGGGCCATGACTGGAACCCAGCAGACACTCAGCAAGTGCTGGCCTTGGCTGGCCTCCCCCACTTCCCATCATGCTTCATGCCACTGTCACAGCCCATCACAAATGCAGACTTTAGCACAGGTGATTCTTTACTTTCTTTTCAGAAGACAGACATAAGGGACACTTCTAGGTCCTACAGACTCTTTAGAAGGGTCTTCAGAGAAATGGAAACTCCTCATCTTTCAGATAAGGAGACTGAGGCTGACAGGGGAAATATACTAGCCTTGACACCGAGGACCATATTTTCTAGGTAAAAAGTCAGGACATATCATCTGACCTGGCACATACCATTTAAAACTATTTTGATGTGGGAAGCGCAGAATACGGGGCTGTTGTGTTGAGAATGCGTAGTGAAATGACAAAATCGGGAGAAGATGCCTGACCCCCTGCACAGGGTTTCCTAGACCAACTCAAGCTCCTTCTAGCATGGCTGAGCCTGCAAATGTTCAGTGTGGCAAAAGGTGATATGGTCGTCCTGGTTTGAAGCAAGTTACTACGGAGAAAATTGAGAGGCATGAACAATGTAATTCGATAACCTACTTAAGGTCGGTGTATAATGCTTTATTGCGTGGTTCAATCCTGACTGCGTCGTCATGACCCTGGGGGTGCTGGTTTGCAAGAGATTCTGAGGCCACGTGACAGACCTCCCTGGGAAAGAGGGTCTCGGCGGGTTAGTGATGTCTGGAATGGGCAGAGGAGGGCAATGGAAGTACGACCCATTTTTTGCAACATTTGGGAAATACAGGGAGAATTTATCGGTCCACTTTCTCCAGCATGTAGCACAGTGCTTTTCATGTGGTCAGCATTGACTGAGTGTATGAGGAAGGGCGGGAGGGAGGGACGGAAGGAAGGAGAGAAAGGTGGGGAAGGGAAGGAGGGAGTGAGGGGGGCACACAGAACCACCCACAGCCATACCGTTTCAAAATTCTAATGGATAAATGGGTAGGAGAAAATTCTGTGGCACATCTAACTCACCCTTCGGGACTGGCTTCTCGTAGAATTTTCTTGATGGCAAGGAACGTGGGCCTTTTCTCTGGAGACTCATCCCAGCACGCCCTCACCAGGACCACGATCTTTTCACTGCCCTTCTCCTCTGATAGGGAAGGTCGGAGTGGAGCAGATGCTGTGGGGTCTCTGATTTGGCGGATGATTTCTGTTCATTTTGGATTTAGACAGGCCAGTGTCGGGACTTTGTGGCATTTAGTACGCTTCATTTTAAACAGATGTGCTCCTAAATTTGCAAACTGAGTTTCCAAGTAAATTTAACAGATTAGAATTTCAGAGATATCTGAATATTTTATACTTTCCTGAATCCTCTTGGAAAACGAGGAATCTAAATGAAAACCATTAGTCACCCCTGATTAATCTGTTTTCAGATTAATTTCTTTCTAATAAAACTTTTCTTAAAGTGAAGCATCTCTGCAGGATTTCAGAAGTGTATAAGCACTTCATATTAGACATCCCCAAAGTGTGATACAATGTTGTGGTCCATAAATGTTACATAAAAGACATTTTAACAAATATTAAATGTTACCTACACACCCTGCCTGTGTGTCCAACTTTATAAACCTACTTTCCTTCACTTTCTCACTGGCTTCTACAAAAATGTATTAAATAATCTGCTTAACTAGGTTTTTTCAAAGAGGTATTTTGAGGACAATGTACACATGTTTTGGTATGAAAATACTGTTAGGTACAACAATATGGATGAATCTCAAATGTATATTATTAAGTATAAGAAGCTAGTCTGTAAAGGCTATAGTCTCTATGATTCTGTTTATGTGACCACTAGAAAGGGCAAGATTATAGAGACAGAGAACCGGTCAGAGGCTGCCAGGAGTTTGGAGAGGAGAGAGGGCTGAATAGGTGCCGAAGGACCAGAACTGTGTTTAGGGTGATGAAACTGTTCTGTATGGTCCTGTAATGGCGGGTGTGTGACACTACCTATTTGCCAAAACCCATAGAACTTTATAGCATAGAGAGTGAGCCTTAAAGAATGCTAAATTAAAAAAAATATATCAGTTGGGAGACTGGATGGCCCCAAGGTAGAACATGGACTTATGACACAACGATATAACTGCATTACCAATGTGTGACATGACCTCGCTGAAGGGGGCGCAGTGCGGGGCGGGGGGCCGCCCTGAGAAAGTTTCGAAATGACCAGGGACTATAGGACTGAAGACAAAAGGAACTGTTCATAGTTAGCACATTCCTGTTGGTGAGAGCGCTTCTCGGGGGTACACAGATCAACAAGCCTGAAAGCACTGTACACATATAGGGGATTGGACCGTAAGTTAATGGATGCTGGGAGCCAGGGTCTCACTGTCGCAAAGGGAGGTTATGGATAAGCAGTGAGGGAGACTAGAATAAATGAACCGTGGGGTAATGACATTGGAGATGTCAGTTATGAACCCGTGCTTAGCTTAATGTAAGTACAGCTGTGTAGATAGAGATACGCTCGTGTATACACATACAAGTTAGTCTAAACACACATCAGAAACACTTGGCAGGGGGCTTGTTAAAACACAGATTCCAGACTCACCTCCACAGTTTCCAAATCAGGAGTTCTGGTTCAGGGCCTGAAAATGTGCATTTCTAACAAGCTCCCAGGTGATGTGGCTGCTGCTGGTCCAGGGACAGCACTAGACCAGTGCTTTGCAAACTGTGGCTCTTCAGCACCACCTGGGAACTTGATAAAAATGCAAATACCCAGCCCTTCTCCCAGACCTACTGAGTCAGAAACCCTGAGCATGGGACCCAGAAATTGTTTTAACAAACCCGGCAATTCTGATGCCCACCAGCACCTGAGAACCACGGGTCTCGTGTGTGCAGAGAATCAGTATTCACTCAGATCCCAGCACACAGGAGTATTTGTAGGGAAGTTAATGACAGAAGCTTGTGGTCCATAAAGCAGACACGCACTCTACTTTCCCTGGTTGCAGTGCTGTGTACACACACTCCCGTGAGGCCGGCTCTCATTAACTTTGCGAGCAGAGGACCACACTGAGGGGGAAATGTACTGACTGTCCTCTGTCTTCCTAGCCCCACCCGGCTAGGGGCGGCTTAGCTGAGCGAGGCGGGTGGGCTCCTGCCTGCCTGGGCTCAGCCTGGGAAGACCTGTGTCGCTGCTTGTTCCCAAAGTCCGACGCGCCTAGATCTTGGATGAACCGTTTTGCATTAGTCTCGCCTCTGTGTCACTGAGCCATAAATCAGAAACTGGAATCTACTTTCAAAGCAACTACATACATTCAGAAAGGCTCCTGACATGAAAAAGGCTCCCAGGAGTGCCTTGTGATCTAAAGATGAGACTTGAGTTAGGCCATGGGGCTTGGACTAGAAAGGGTCGGCAATGAGGAGAAAAGGGGGGGAAATCGAGAGAGAAAGGTGGGCTGGGTATCCACAGAAATTCACACACACATGTATCCCTGTCTTCTCTCCAGGATGGTGGTTCTCAGCCTGGGAGGCATGTTGGCATCACCTGGGAGCTGCAAAAACCCTGTCGCCCAGGGAGGCGTCAGAACCCCTGAGGCTGAGCATCAGGCATCGGTAGTCGTTCCGGTTCCCCGTGTCTGACTCCAATGGGCAGCCAAGAAGGAAAATAACAGTTCCAGTGGGTTATATTTTTCTAATCTTGATCAAATTTTGTTCCATTTCCTACTAATTTTATCCTTAATTCTCTGGTGGAATGTGTTAAGAGATAACCTAGCCCCACCCCACCCCCCAAAAAGCTTGAATATATGCTTTGTAAGTGTACAATTGGGCAGCACTTACCCCCCAAAAATCAAATATATTTTAAATGCATTTATTTATTCATTTTCATGGACAGGAAACTATCCTGAAGAAACATTCACCTATGTCCCCAAAGATGCAAGGATGCTCACTGGAGCAATTTGTCACAGCAAAAAACGGCAAACCACCAAAATGCATGTCGATCAATAATACATGGCACATCCTTACAATGAAAAATTGTGTAATCCTTCAGAGAGAATGAGGCAGATTTGCATATGCAAATATGAGGTGAGAGATACTCAGGCCGTGGGAACAGCCTGTGCAAAGGCTTCTGCCTGTGCAGAAGTGCGCCTGGCACGTTGGAGGCACCTGAATGCAGCCAGTGTGATCGAGCGGAAAAGCCATGGGGAATGGAATTAGGAAGGTGCAGTGGGCTGAATGCTGGTCCCCAAAGACAGGTGTCCATGTCCTAATCCCCAGAAGCTAGGGCTGTGACCTTATTTGAAAATTAAAAATAGGTCTTTGCAAATATAATTGTCTTGGATTAAGGAGATCACCTTGGATTATCCAAGTGGGCCCCAATCCAATGACAAGCATCCTTACAGGAGACAGACAGCAAAGAGAGATCTTGAGGAGGGGTCAATGTGAAAACGGAGGCAGATTGGAGCCATGCGGCCTCAAGCCCAGGAAGGCTGGGCAGCCAACGAAGGCTGGATGGAGCAAAGAATGGGTCGGCCCTTATGCTTCTAGAGGAAGCTCGGCCCTGTCGAACCCTGATTTTGGACTTCTAGCCTCTGGAACTATGAGAGAATAAATTTCTGTTGTTTCAAGCCAGCCTGTAGGCTTGTGGTGACTTATTACGGAAGCCTTAGGACACTAACATAGGTCACCGAGGCTGGTTTAGAGGCCTCTGGTGGTCGTGTAGGCCATTGTGAAGACTTAGTTTTCACTCCCCAAACGGGAAGACAGGGGAGGATACTGCGTGGAAAAGCAACACAATGTTACACATTTTCTAATAGGATCTGGCTGCTGTTATAGAGTAAGTTACATAATTCTGAGTGCCTTGATTTTTTTAATCAAGTTGCAATCATTCTCTAATTCCTTAAAAAATGAATAAAAAAATAAGAGTGCAATAAATTGTAAATTCATATACATGTAATAAAGCAATCAATAAAACAAGCCTTTGCAAACTAACCCTGATAACCAAAGCCTGCCCAGGAGATGCTCCCCACCTTACCGTCCGGGGTCTCGTCACGGTCGTCAAAAGGCCCATGGTCCTGCTGGTGAATCAGCTCCCTCATCAGAACAGCAAAGCTGTAAACGTCTCCCTTTGGGGTGCCCGACCAGGGCACCTCTGGGAGCCGCAGCAGCTCCGGGGCGGTCCAGTAGAGATCTGCAAAGCAACAAGGTGTTGGCCCGCAGTAAGAGAGCTTCCAGGCAGAACTAGAAAGCCACCCTTTGTATCTCAAGGACGCTCAAGGGGTATGAAAGCAGCCAGCCCCAGACAAGTCAGCCCCCATGGAGCCTGACTTAGAGGGCACCGAGGGGCCTGAGCACGTGACTACAGAGAAAACAACCAGGGAGCATGGGCACCAACAGGTTAACAGTGGTTAACTCGTGGGTTTGCAGTGACGGGTGGTTTTTCTTTTCCTTTTCTGGACTGCCTACATGACATTAAATGAATCAGTTTAAAGTGAACAATTTAGTGGCATTTAATACATTCTCAATGTTGTGTAACCACCACCTCTACCCAATTCCAAAACATTTCCATTCCCCAAAGTAAAAGCTCGTACCCTTTATGTAGTTTTTCTCCTTGCCCTTTATCCCTAGTTCCTGAAAACCACCAGTCTGCATTTTGTCTCTAGATTTATCTATTCTGGATGTTTTATACATTCACGTTTATTTGCAATGAGGTGTATAGGTTTATGTTATTATAGGTTACAGTCATTAAAACAAAATCTATTGGAAGATGGAGAAGTAGGAGTGGCTTCTAGCAGGTTTTTCAATTGCCCCTTTGTCTTTCTCTGTAAAACACATCCTCTCTCACGTCACAGAGCCTCCTACACAGGCTCAGCAAAGCTGCTGGCCATGACCAGTGGCTCCAGGGAGAGGCAGTCAGGGCTGAGGGCACTGAGCTCAACAGAGCCCGGACAAGTGCGAGGTGAGACTCAAGAGCACTCAGTTGACTCTGGACACGCAGGGAGAGTGCCCGAGCCTCAGCCAGTCACGTGAGAAGGAGGGGTGGACTCCCGGCGGTGAGTCGTACCAGAACCACTTGGGAGCTTTTAAGAACAATACGATGTCCAGGCCCCATCTTCTGATTCAGCGGGTGCAGTGTGGGACTCAGCCACCTACATGTTTTTCAAAGCTTCTCAAGTAACACAGAGAGAATGGAGGACTGCTAAGCTTCATTCCTAAGGTGCGCAGCAGATCATCGTTCCACACAGAGAAGGTAGGAAGATGTGATGGGATACAGAGGGCTACAGACAAGGACAGTGACTTGTTTCAGGTCACCCCGCTGAGCCAGGATGACAACTGGTTCTCCTAACTCAGGCATCACACTAGGGACTCCTGCCTCCAGTTCTCTTTGCCTTGGCTGAACAGAACAGCCCCATGCCACCGAAGGAAGCTCCAAAGGAAGGCCCACACGTAGCCACCTGTGCACGTGAGCATCAGGACGCAGGAGTGGGGTTAGGAACCTCTTCGCCACTCTGCCCTTAGCTGGGGGTTCCAAGATCTGCCAGTGGTTACCTGAGTGGTCCATCGTTTTCTCATACGTTCTGTACGTCCGGCCATACTTGAGCTCCCACAGCCCAAATCCTGACAGCTTCACCTGCATCCGACCATCCACCAGGCAGTTGGAAGGCTTCAGGTTCCCATGGGACCTCAGTGGGCTCCTGTGAAGGAACAGCATGCCCTGGGAGAGCGAAAATGATCAAGTGAATTAGAGCAGGTGCCGACGGACACCAGCAGAGGGGGAGACAGGTGGAAAGGAACACAGGTGCACAGACCCAGCATAGGGGACAGAGATACTCTGTTCATTTGTCCAAGAGCCACGGACACAGCCCCTGGGCACGGACACCCAAAAAAGAAGAAGACAATATCTAGTCCCTCAGCATGGAACCATGAAGGCAAGAGCAGCTTCAAGTAAATATAGCCTAGTGGTCAGGCTCCTGAGTTCAAATCCTAGCTCAGCCACTTAGGAGAGGGCACGGCCCCTCATCCCTGTCAGCTTCATTCTGCTCATCAACATGGAAACAACAATGAACCCTACCTCACAGGGCGGCTGTGGAAATTAGATGTAATAATGCACGTGAGACATCAGACACAGTGCATGACACAAAGTAAATAGCCACTTAAATTGTAATGAAACATTTCTATAAATACGATAAAGTATGTGTGCTTAAGGTTAGGGGATGGAGAGACTGCGCGAAAAAGGACGCATGGACATGGGGGGTGGGGGCAGGTATTCGGGGACTAGATGGTAATGGGAGAAAAATACAATAAAGATTAAGTTTTTTAAAAAGAAAAAGCTTTCCAAGAAAAGTGAGTCAGAAAGGCAGTGATATAAGAGCCAAGACCTGGAAACAACCTAGATGGCCTTAAACCAAAGATGGGATAAAGATGCGGTACATATAGACAACGGAATGCTAGTCAGCCATAAAAAATGTCATATTGCCACTTGCAACAACAGGGATGGATCTTGAGTATCATGTTAAGTGAAATAAGACAGAAAAGGACAAGACCCACATGCTTTCACTCATACGTGGGATATAAAATAGAAAGCAGCAAATGAAGAAGACAAACTCATAAATGCAGACCATGGTTACCAGAGGGGAGGGGGGCGAGGGGAAGATAAAGAGGGTAAAGGGGGTCGAAAGCGTCTTGACGGAAGGAGACGCGACTTCAGGTAGTGACCACAATGCAATATACAGATGATGTGTTATAAAACTCTCCCCCTGAAACGTATATAATATTATTAAATAATGTCACCGCAATAAATTTAATTTTTTAAAAAAGAAAGGCAATGATCTTTCTCACTCAGCAAGGAGATGGCATCGGGGGGCGGGGGGTCTTTCCTTGGGCAGAGTGGGTTTGGAGAAAGACTTAGAGCTGAAGAGGGAAATGTGATTTGGGAAGGACAGGTAGAAGAAGAGATCAAATTGGAAAATGAGAACTGTCACATCTGAAACATGATTAGAGAGACAGATGGTTGCATTTCTCTCATGTTTGCAAGGGCGGACCTAGAAGTAGTGAAATGAAGGTTGAGGGAAAAAGGTTAACTGGGACCCACTGTTTGTCACTTTGGTTTTTCATTTCCTTACTTTCCTTAATGGCTTCATGAGAAAGCATTTAAATAATATCCATTTAATATCACCAGTTTCTTGGACTTAAAATACTGACATAAAGGCTCCCTATATCTTTAATCTACTTTCACCAAATCATTTTTATTTTTAAGTTTAGAGTGCTAACCGTATGCCAGGGAGCATCCTAAGTCCCTTACTTAACCTAGCTCATGTAACCCCTAGCAACGTGTAGAGGCTCATGTTACAGGTGAGAAAGGGGAGAGATGAACCTGGCCCAGCTCGCAGTCGGCCAGCAGTGGAGCTGGACTGGAAATTCTGCAGTGTGATTCCCGAGTCCGGCCCCCTGACCAACTGCTCCTTTGCTGATAAAAGAAGCCTAAGAAGGGCAGAGAGCGAGAAGTGATTATTTCATTTCAGCCACAAGGCTCCATGGACACATAGACTGTCATATGGATTCGTGATGAATCCATAAATAACCATGAACCTTTGTTTTGAGGCTTGCTCCTCACTTCACATTGAAGTACAGCGAGCAGGGTACCTTATATATCGTATCGCATTTACCTTTCCTGAGGGAGGTTAATATTCTCCTTCTCTGTCTCACAATGAGGAAACTTAGGGTTTTTAAACCGCTCCCAAGGAGTTGGCGGGGAGCGTGGGGGGCAAGCTGGGATACAAACCCAGACTGGGCTGCCTGCGAAACCCAGCTTCTGCTAAACCACTGGATTTTACTGTTTCCAGCACCCTGGGTGGTGGTAGAGGAAGAGGAGGGTGCGTCACAGTGCACCTAATTCTCGTAACATTCTTATACAGGAACAGCCAGGTTCAGATGAATCTCAAGCCCAGCTGAGAAGGGGGGAAGTCACCCTTGGAGACGGCGACGAGGGGCACGGGCCCTCAGTGTTCCAGCAAGGAGGAGCATGTGGAGGGCTCCTGAACAGACTACTGCACCCAGAGACAGGATCCTTGGACCTCCTGGGCACCAGCTCAGGGACTCACCTCTTCCTCCAGCCGTGATGCCAGGCTGAGTCACTGTCTCACTTTAGCAAGCACCCTCGGCCAATATTGCCTTAGAAATACAGGCTAATGCAGAAAGTAATAAGGAAACATACAGGACAATGAATACACCACCTTTACCCTCTCCCCCCCAAAATCAAGAGGTTGTATTCCTTTATCAACGTGGCTTGTTTGTTTTTGTGAGGTAATGAAGGTGAATCACATTTTGGGAATGCAGCCCACTCAGCTGGACCCGGAAGGGCCTGGCTGGAGCTCTCTGGAACTTCCCTGGGAGGCACCCGCTGGCCAGGCCTGGGCTTGAAATCTGGGGAGACCTGTGTCCCATCCAGAGTTCTCACCGACCTCTCAGAGACCCCTCCATGCATCAGGACTGCCCTGACACGCACGACCGTCCCTTGCCTTGCTAGTGCCAGGCCACACCGGGCATGAGGCATTTTACATTCCGGTCGCCAGCAATCCTCCCTGACGTCAGGGATGTTAGGAGAGCTCATTCCATTAGGACATGAACTGCTTGTTTGGGGCTCCTCCAAATCTCAGGTCTGCAGCCCTCTCCGGGGGGTAGCACATCTCTCTCTGCTGTGGTGGTGGTTTTTCTAGCTTGATGGAAATGCGTGAGTACATGAACACTGTCAGAGAACAAATTGAACTATGAGACGCACACAATTGATATGCCAGATGTTATGCATTTTGGCAATTCTATCACCTACCCATCTGCTAGTTACGTTTATTTCCTTATTAGAAAGTTGGGGCCGGCCCACAGAGCTCCTACCCCTGGATCCTGCACCTGTGCTCTCTGGTGCTTGGCAGGGAGGAAATGTAGCAGAGCCCAGCTCTGGACACAGACTGGCTGTGAGCTCTAATCTGACTCTTACCTGCTGGGCAGGTCACGTTACCCAGCTAAGGCTCATTTTTTTCCCTTGTGAAATGGAGTAAATATTAATATTGGCACTGGAGTAGGTAAATTAATAATCAAGTTCATTGTGAATTACTTAGAGTGTTGTCCACTGGAAATAAAATGCAAGCCACATGTATAATTTTTAGTTTTTTCATTAAACAGGTGGAATTATGTTTTAAAATACAGCTTATTTAACCCTATGTATTAAAAATCTTATTTTAACATGTAATCAATATAAAAATATTAGATATTTTATTTTTGTTTTTTGTTGGTTTTTTTTTTTACTAAGTCTTCGAAATCTGGCATAAATTTTACACATGTAGTATATCTCAATTTGGACAAGTCATGTTGCCAGTATTCAATAATCACATGTGGCTGGTGGCTACTGTATTTGGAGAGTGCAGACTTATCCCACAGCATTGTTGAAGGAACAGAATAAGAAAGTGAGTGTTTTTCAGTATTAGTAATGGAGTTATCTGTGACAGTAGTAACACTACTGGTCCTCCTAATACTGACAATATTTATTGGGTGCCTTTAGTGAGGTACGCATGGTTCTAACCATTTTACATACCTTAGTCCTCCTAACAACCCTATGAGGTAGGTACTCTTGTTATCTATTTTATTCACAGGGAAACTGAAGCTCAGGGTAGTTAAGGACACCTGCTCAGTAAGTAGCAAAGCCAGGCTTGAAACCCCCAAGACAACTTCTAGGCCAAATGCTCTCCATCCTCTTAACCCATTAGGACTTCTCTTCCTTAGAAATGGAGGCCCATCTCTAACTCAAGAAGACTATTATATCTCCAAAGCTTGTTCCCAGGCTGGCCCCACTGGTTGAACTCTTTGGGGACAGAAGAATGAGCCTCATTCCTCTGTGCCCCCCATGCCCAGAATCAGGGTTGACCAAAATTAGGTGCTCAATTAATATACTTCCATTATTTTGAAAAGTCTGTGGCAACCCAGAATCTCTCTGACACCTGGTATAGGAGCGGTTCTGGCCAAATGGACATCAGGAAAGGAGTTGTTTTTATGATTGGTCTGTGGTGGCCAGAAGCACAATCTAACTACAGAGCTTGGCCCAGTGCCTGGCTTCATGTCAAAGTCGCCCATGGCAAAACTTTAAGAAATTACTTTTAGTCCCCTTTCAAGGAATGCTGGCCCAAATGTGCCTTGGCCTAGCTCACCGTGACTTCCTTAAACAGCTCCATCATGTGCACACACCAAAACAAGATTCCAGGCTGTCCTTCTGGCATAGAATAGGGGACAGACTCCGTGACCTAGAGTAGCTGATGCTACTCGGGAGATTTTCACCTTGAATTATCATTCTCATCCACCTCAGCATTACTCCAGAGAAACCTTTGGCTTAATGCTTCTTGATAGCCAGAATGCCCACACTCAAAAGGTTAAATCTGTTGGGCATTCATTCCTTGGTGAGAATTCACTAGCTTTCTCTTGACATTCAATATGATGATGTCAGCTGTTTTGAATGGGACAGGAGACACATTGGAAGTCTAGAGTACTTCCCTGGGTTTGCTGGGTAGGGAAGGGAAAAGTGGGTGAAGGGCAGGAGAGCGGAGCCAGAGTAGGAGTGGAGGCCACATCATATTCTATTTTATAGCTGTACCACCTCCACTTCAATAATTTTGTATGTACATTTCCTATTTTCTTTTTTTCTCTAGCTAGATTTTAAGCCCCCTAAAGTTAGATACAAGACCTTTTTTTCCTACAAAGGTGCCCAGAGTAAGATAAATCATTAACAAATAGCTGCTCAGTAAAGTTTCCTGAAATAACTGTGTTGGCCCAGTGTCAACTCAAAGACAAGGTTTCTGTTTGTCTAAATTCCTTCCGCTTAAGGCCTAGGAAATCAAAGTTCTCACAAGGCCGTTAAGACTCAGCTTCTTAGAAACAAAGAGCAATTAAATCCTCGAAAAAGACAAGCCTTTGCATATCAACAGGCCAACATCATCCATTCACCTATATGGAGGCTGAAGTCTACAAAGGGGAACAAAAGTCAAAGTCACTCAATGAGTCACTGGCCCTATACTCTAGAAGGGCAGAGCTTTTTCACCTTTGTATCTCTCCCAACACGCAGGCTGGGTGTTGCCCATAGGAGTCTATTGGCTGATGAATGGACTGTTGATTGACAGATGTTGGCCAGCTCTGCTGGTTGTCAGACTGAGGGGCTTCCTCACCAGGACCCAATCCAAGGTCACTAGCTTGGTCTTCTCTGTTACGGTAAGAACAGAGGCGGTGAGTTTAGAAAGAACAGCTGTATTCTAGTCCAGGTTGGAGAGATCAGCCTCAGGTTCACACTGACATGGCCCGTCGGACTTATCTTCCACCTGTGAATGGGGATTACTGACTAGATCTACCATGTATCTTGTGAAAAGTAAGGAAATTAACATATACAGGTGCTGGGAAGTATTGGGGCCTAAGTAAATATATTTTAGCTATTATTATTATCATCTCTTTTACAGCTACTACAGGCCTCTTTGCCCAAAGTAAAAATTCTGCCTGCTTATTTAAATTCACAGAGTTGCATCCCTTGTGAACAGCTTTGTGGGTATTGTGACTCTGATCCCCACTTTCTGGGGAAAGGAATTGAGGGCCAGGGAAAAGGAAAGAGTATTAGGAATCCTTCCTCTAGTTGCTTTATGTTCTAGTAATTAGATTTTCTTTTCAGTAAAAAGTTCTATCCTTAAATGTAAATACTATGATTTTTCCTGATTTGGTAAACCTAGCATCCCTTCCAACTTTAATATAAAATAGTTTAGTCTCTTGATATTTACTTGAGATCAAGGAGAGAGAAAAGAATGGAAAATATGATTGAAGTGGTGTATTTTTTTTTTTTTTTGCAGTGGTAGATTTTAGAAGTGGGATCACTTTGTTTGAAGAGGAGATTAGAGAAATACCAGAATTTTGGGAAAATTCTGGTTTGATTTAATCCACCACATAAGACAATTCAAAAACGCTGTGGTATTTGTTCTTTAAAAAAGTTTATGTCATACTCACATTGACTATGTCATATGCAAATGAGAGCTTGAATATCCAATCCATTTCATTATCAGAATTTCTCAAAACATCCTGAAAACACAATTATTTAAAATATCACCAGTTATTCAACCTGAAGCACATTGAGCTTCATGGGTTAAATGGGTTTGGTTCTAAAATGTTGGATGGTTTTGATCAAAACTAATATAACCTGAAGACAGAGCTGAAAAATTTTTCAGGAAATACCATAACCTGACTCAATATTGAGAAAGTTACGCAGTCTTGAGTTTTACAAACACATCCTTGTTCCTGACATAAAGTGGATGGTCACCTACCAAGGGTAGGATGGGCCCAGGAATGCAATTTAGGGGTAGTTGTGACAGCTAAGGAGATGAACCCAAGGTCCGATGCTTTCCCTTCAGAACACAGGAAACCAGACACTTGGCAACTCTGCGGCTAATCTGATCCCCTGCAGGCAGCCCAACAAGATAATTCAGGTCTTGCAATTAGACCAGAAAGGAAAATGTTCTTGTACGAAGGGACAAAAGCATGGATAAGGTTCTTCATGAGCCACTGCCAATCAAACTTAAGGTAAGATTTGCTATTTTACTTACCTTAAGACTTCCTTTTTTGCAATACTGAGTGATAATGCAGATGTTGGGTGGTTCTGTACAAACACCAAAGAAGGGAACAATATTTTCATGCCTCAATCCATACACCTGAAAATAACAATTGTAATAATACCATATGATTATAGTATGTCTTCTGTGCTAGGGACTATTCTACGTGTTTTACAATGCTTTCAGTTAATTCTCCCAAAAACCCTGTGAGTAAGAACTTCAACTGCTTCCATTTTACAGATGAGGAAACTGATGTTCAAAAGGTAAAGTAACATGTTGAAGATCATACCACTTGTTAGTGGCAGAGCTGGGAGGATAATACAGACAGTCAGCCTTTGGCACATAAACAAGAGGAATAATCAAAGTCTAACCTTAGCCACAGGGATTGACTAAAACCAAGTCACAATAAATAGACCCAGCTGTGCTTCCTAGTGTTCACGGCTGTCCACGCCAGTGTGTGGGCCATGACAGATCCCAGATTCGGAGCACGAAGTCACACCCCATGAACCTGACTTCCTCTGAGGACCAGGTTCAAGGGAGGTGGGCAGCCATCACAGATACAAAGACTAAAGATGCCGAATTAAGGCCAGGAAGAATTAAGGAAAATCAGCAAGGCTAGAAGGTATCCTAGGCCTCAGGTGCCTGAGTCAGGCCAAGAAGTCTGAGTTCTAAAGCCTGGGCTTTTTTGGAAGTGTGTATGGTGAGCCAAGTAAAGGAAGCTGCTTCCCACCCCTGCTTCTTTACACAGGGACCCCTCCCACAGCAGGTGAGGCAGGGATCTGGCAACGAGGGCCAGAGAACAATGCCACTTTGTCTCCTCCCAGGGTGGGGGCCTCACCAGCCGGATTTCCTGCAGCACAGACGGCTTCCTGATCCAGGCTTCTGCTTGGTCACCGACATAGCAGATGGCCACATGGTTTCCCTAGAACCATAGACAGAGTGGAATGTTCTTAACCTAAGGTGATCCAGAAAAAGCTCTACTCAGAAGGAGCTAGGGTGGGGATCAGGAAGACAAGGAAGAAATCAGTATATGAAAAGGATCTCCAAGCTCCTCACCACGCAAATCAGCCCTAGGGTGGGTGGCACTGCGCTACTCCATGCTCTGAGCTAGGTGCTCAGCTAGGCACTGAGCTAGCCTACGTGCTAGCACTGTGCTACCCTAGACACTGAGCTAGCTGCTCAACACACAAGATCCCATTTAATAGGCATCACAGTCCTGCAAGGTGGGAATGATCAGCTCATTCCAAGATGGGATCACTGAGGTTAGGTAACTTGTCCACAGTCACACATTTGTAGGCAGTACAGCCAGAATTGGGACACCCCATTATCTTTCAGAGGAATACTGAGTTGAAGTCATAAGAGTAAGTCTGGAGTCAGGTACCTGATTCAAAGACCACTCCTACCACTTACTACCTACACAATGTTGAGCAAGGGATTTAACCTCTCCAAGCCTCCATATCCTCTTCTGTAATGGAGATTAAAAATAATACTAATCCCATTGTATTATTGTGAGGATTAAATCTTCAAATATGTTAACACTGTCAACTAAATGCTTGGCACATACCAAGTTTTCAGTAAATGGCCTATCTTATTGTTAGTACCTATTGAGTCTGCTTTTAGAGAGTCACTTAATCAATCACCACAAAAATATACTGTCGCCTGGAATGATCTGGGTAGAAGAAGAGACAGAATCTAGACACAAAAGAAGGTAAGCCTCAGTATGAATTAAATGTCCACCCAAGATCTGCCACGTTTGCTATGGGATTAATTGCAAAGACCTCAGGACTATGATGAAAATTCTGAGGAGGAAGGGATCCCTCCTCAGAAGTGGGACGAAGGAAAGGCTCCTTGGAAGAGGTGATGCTTAAGCTGAACAATGAAGGATAAGAAGGTTCTAGATGGGGGAGGGGGCAGTAGGCATGGTGTTGCCTGAAAGTGAAACATACATGGCATAATCAGCAAGATCAACTGGATGAGTATAGGATGTTGGTTAAGGGGTTCTGAAAGTAGGCTGGGGCTAGGCAATAAAGAGCTGTGAGCCTCTTGTTAAAGGGTTTAGAAACTTTCATACAGTCAACAGATGTGGGGAACCCAGTGATGGTATTTGAGGGAGAGGAGGGGGAGCATTTCGGGAAGATTAACCAATAACGACATGCCATAGATCATTGGCTTCCATCTCCAAGTGGCTAGTGGACTGTGATATATCAATAGTTTTATATGAATGAGGTCCCCTGGGTTTTATGGGTGATAATATCCAAGGAGATTTTTTGTCATTTGAAAACTCAAGCAAACATGTAGAAAAATAGGTTTAGTTGCCTAGGCAATGATTTGGCCCCGATCTTTGCTAAACCCAATTTAAAGCAAGGAGCAAGTCTTCCCTTGCTTGGAGCTTTCTGCCCTTACTCTCTGGGACTTCCCTTTCAAAGAATAAATATGGATTTTTTTTTTTCTTTACAAAATTACTCTCCAGGGCACTTGACCTTCTGAAAGAGTGCTAAGCAGAGACAGCCACCGCAGTTGAGCCCATGGACGGGAGGGTGAGAGGGGCAGGCAGGAACTGTTGCAGGATTCAGCAGGTACCAGTTTATCCTGTGGAAGCAGCAATGCCCATGACTGGTCATCAGTGCCAAAGTACCAAAAATGAAATAATCCATGCTCTCGGACTCTGCTGTTCAATAAGATGGCCACCAGCCCCATGGGGCCAATTAAGTGAAAATTATGTAAAATTTAAAATTCCGTTTCCCAGTCACTAATGTTTAATAGTCACATGATGGCAGTGGCTACCATCTTGGACTGAGCAGATGTGGAATACTGCACTAGTCACAGGAAGTTCTAATACAGAAGCCAGCACAGGAATCACCGAGGAGTTGGGTAGGAAAAATGCAGATTCTCAGGCCCTGCCCCAGACCTGCTGAATGAGAATCTGCATTTGAACAAAGGCCTCCAATGACTCATAGGCGTGTTAATGTGGAGAAACAGGAGTCTGGGGCCGGAAGGCTATGTGGAGTTTCCTGGGAGGATGCCCTCCTATTCAGAATGCCCTGTCTGGCAGAAAGGACATTCAGAGAACAGCACAGAGACACACACTTCATGCAGCCACCTTGCTCGCAGAAGTACCTGGTACAGGCCTACTGGGGCATAAAGGAGTTCTTCCCCCTGCTGGCTCTTGACAAAGGAGCCGAAGTCCCCAGAGTGCATCACGCCAGATGCATTGCTGTTGTTCCCTCTCGACACAGGTGTGCCTCTCTGGGATGGCTGTAAAACAGGACACAATCCGGGTGCTCTCAGGAACAGAAGAAAGTAATGAAGAGACTGTGCATTTTGTAGATGAGGAAAATGAGTTTCAAGGGAGAACCAGGATCGGAACCTTGATCTATCTGAACAGAGGTGTGATTGCCTAACTGCTACACGCATCACTCTTATGTCTGTACCACCATGGATAGTGTCATGGCTAAGAGGACAGGCTCTGGGGTCAGACTGCCCAAAGTCAAATTCTGGCTTTGGCACTTAACTAGCTGTATGATCCGATGCCAGAGTTATTTTCCTAAATAAACATCTAACCATGTTACCTCTTGGTGTAATATGCCCAGCACCTCCCTACCACCTAAGAGATGTCTTTAAAGCAAAGAAACCTTGTTTTCTAAGGAGAGTCTTCCCTGGAACTCTAATGTAGAAACCAGGGAGATCAGAGCTGCTTTGGTTGAAGGGGGAAGAGGTGGGTTCAGAATTCCGCCCATGACACTTATACCCTTAATGTATTATTCACCCCATGAGTAGACCAGTGAGCCCCACGGTCCTCAAGGACATTTGAAAATGACTTATTGGTAAACCCCAAACTCCTGGTCTTAGAATTTTGGAGCCTCCCTGACTTGGTACCTTTCTGCCAAGACAGCTCTTTTTTTAAGGGAAAAAAAACTCATTTATTGAATAAATAGTACATGCATGAATATCAATAAGAAGAAACTAATTCTACAAACTACAATTTGGAAAATAAAGCCAATATAGCAGGAAAAAATATGCGTATCATTAAAGGAATGCTTGACTTTGGCCCATAATAAATTCCTTATCTTTACAATTACCCTTAACGTCTATTAGAACAAAACTGTATTCCTAGGTTTAATTTTAGTACTTCTTATAAAAGCAACAACATTCTAGATAGAACACTTTTATATTTTTTTGCTTTGAGATATTTAAGATTCACACATCTGTTCTGATGTGTAAATTCTGATTCAACAGTAGCTTGTCAAACCTGTTCTTCTCTTAATATCTTGAGTAACATGTACTGCTGAACAAGTTCTAGCTGAAATTGTAAAATTGCTGACCTTTTTTTTTCTTACTGATTTTAGAAAGAGAGGGGAAGGGACGGAGAAATATCGCTTTGTTGTTCCACTTATTTATGCATTCATTGGTTGATTCTGGTATGTGCCCCAATCAGGGATCAAACCCACAACCAACCGAACTTACCTAGGCAGGGCTGTAAAATTGCAGATCTTTGAAATAAAATTTATTTCAGTTTTGGGTTTTTAATAAATTGAGCTGAAAGTAAAATTGACCCCCCTCTCTGTCCCTCCTGGAACAAAGAGCCCTTATTAAAGAATAAAACCTCAAGTCTATCTTTCTAGTCTAAAGAACATTTCTTACTAACATTTCTGGTTAGGCAATAAATGTTCCGGAACAATCAGCACAGGCTTTCAAAGATGACAGCGTTTGATATCAGTAACAAAAACAAAAAGGAAAGAAAGAAAAGACATATAAAAATTTCAAGCTAAAAAAATATGCATAAAAGACAGTCATGGCAGTACTTTTGGAAGTTATGTAAATGTTATATATTTATCAAATAATGCCATGCTTATTAAACACATGCCAAGCCTTCCGGCCCTGAGCACTGCACACCTTGGCATACCCTGTGTTACTTCTCTCCTGGTTACCACCAGCAAATCCGCTCTTCCCAAATGTCACCTCCTCTCTGAAGCCCTCATAATGCTGAGACATTGAATCCCCTCTATCTGCAAGGCTCCTTTCTCACCGTGCAGACACCTCTTGGAGCACATGCCTTCCTCAGATTGCATCTCATTTGTAGTGCACCTTATGTGCTGAGCTATGTTTGGCCATAGTAGATGTGCAACCTGTGTGTGTTGAGCAAATGAACCTTGTTGCCATAGTCATCAGTAAATGAAAGGAGTTACTACGGCTTTGAAAATAACGAGATGCTTTTCGAAAAACAGCTTTAACATGAGAGCTTCCATCCACAGGGTAATGGAGCTGACGGGAACTTTAGAGACCAGCTGATCAGTCTAAGTATTCAGAGACCAAGGCCCAAGCATGATGTTCCCAGAGGTATTCAGCAAGGAAGTGGTAGGCCTAGAACCGCAACTCAGGGATCCAGACTCTCTGTTAAGTGCTCACTTTATAAATGGATCAGCCTCTGCTCCCATAAGCTCCTGGATGAGGTCCATCCACAAATTACCAGAAGTTAGCAGGAAAGGGGACGTCTGGGCCGGGTGTGCTCTTACCTTGTTTGGGGGCAGAATGGTGATGTCATCATAAATGATCTGCCACCAAATGTCTCTATTTTGCCTCTGCCGTTTTCCTTTCTGCATCCTTAAAATCAGACCTACGATGGCAGTTCCCAAGACGGTAACCAGGAAGGTCATCACGAGGATCACAGCAGTCGCACCTGGGGGGCACAGACACACCATCCCTCAGGCCTGCCTGGGAGCAGAGGGGAGAACATCCCTGCCCCAGCCTGGCCCTGCCAAGCAGGGGCCTCAGAGGCCACCTGGGCACGGGGCCAAGAGAGGATACACTGAGTGCCCTCAGCCTTGCCTCTCCCAGAAATGCTTTTCTGACCCCTCCCCGGGTCCCATGGCAGCTGTACTCACTTCCCCCTCTGTATGGACACTTTCATTGCAGAGAAATAATAGTGATGACTTCTAACACCACACCGCCTTTTATTAAACATTTACTATGTGCTCTCCTTGGAGTTGTTTCTCAGGTATATGATCCATCAAATTCCAGGGCTGGTCCCCTAACCATTGGGAACTACCTCCTTAGAAATGAGGTTCCTGACCCTCAAACCTCAGGAGCTGAGTTTCCCTAGAGCAGAGGTTCTTAACAGGGGAGGAGGGTGATGTTGCCTCCCTAAGGAGTATAGGGAACCTCTGGAGATTTTTTGGGTGTTTGCAAATGGAGGGTACACCTGGAATCTAACAGGTGGAGGCGGGGATGCGGCTAAGTAGCCTACAATGCACAGGACAGTCCCCTCTACACCCAAACAAAGATTATCCCACCCAAATTGTCAATAGTGCTGTTGCTATTGAGAAGCCCTGCTATGGAGAATCCTCGCCTGCTCTGTTCTCCAGGTGCCCACACTGACCTGTAAAAGCGAACTCACTTTCACAGAGCTCATTGTAAAACCCACAGCCGTGTCTGTCTGCAGAAAGGGAGCCATGGGGCCAAGTAGTAGTGGAGAAATTCCTCATGGGTCTTTAAAAAAACAACACAAAAAAAACGACAATTAAAGGTCAGTGCCCATTTGATTTATTCTACCTGTCTCTACCTCAGGTATAGCAAGGGCGAATGAAACACACATGTCATTTGCAAAAAGCAGGTCTTGGTCCCTTAATTCAAATGTCTGCTGACCCATCCAATTTTCCCACCTCACCTAGACTCTTCAAATCCAGCCTTCAGGTAATCTAATTCATGGGAAAGCAATATCTTTTAGCAGGGTAGAATAGCTGATTCAATCTTTTGATTTAAATCATGTCACTTCTGATTTCAACAATGCTGTGCCAATTCTCCTGTTTCTCCCATGTTTGATATGGACAAACCTTGACATTTCACAGACTGAAACATCTCCCCCTGCTTGCAGAACGTCTGTTCCTACAATCCTGAGGACCTAGTCTGCCATGGTTATTTTATTTTATTTACTGGGCCAACCCAATCCGATACATTAAAATTCCTTAAGAGTAGGAGAGAAAAAATGTCAAATCGAATCTGGATTGGGGGTGGTGACGGTGGGGGCAAGCAGAAATTGAATTAAGCTTTCAGTTTCCTTTTAGTTTTCTCATTGATTTTTAACTGAGAACAAAAACAAAGACTTTTTCCAGGGCTTCCTGAATGACGGAAATCCAGGATGGCACCCAGATCCGGGTGTCCACAGGGCTATTTTGGGGTCAGGCTGACCTGAGGAGTCCATTTCCCTGGCTGTGCTCCCAACCTCTAGGGGGCACTGTGTTGTTCCTGCCCCTGCCCTCTCCACTCCCCACACCCCTTCCCCACAAAGCCAGGGCTTCTGAGTGTGATTTTCCCTGCTGGAGCATCAGAAGAGGTGCACTTAGTAGGTATTGTGTTTTGAAACACAATCAGGGGCGAGATCACCTTAAAGACCCAAAGCCAATCCTTATGAGTTCAGAGAGGACCAGAAAACATGTGGTGGATTCTAGGAGCTGGATCCCCAACTGGTCTTCCAGTAAGACCCCCGGCCCTCCCTCTTCTCCCAGATCTTTTCCTGTGGCATGATCTAACATGAAGACATGTCCTGCTAGTACCTGATTGTTTTCTGGTAGCTGTCATAGTGAAGAACAGGAAGAAAGAGCGACCCGTTGCTGGATTTCTGTAGGGCATAGACCGAGTAATCCATACACCGTTCTCCCTGGGAGTCCACAAACACTGGGCCGGTGATTCCTGGAAAGAGAGTAGGTTGTACGTGGTAAGGACGACTCAGAGGAACTCGTGACTTGAACTCATATCAGCAGAACGCCCTCCCTAGCAGCCCCTTCAGCAGGCAGATGTAAGGCCTACACTGGCTAGGCCCATCCAGCTTTAAAAAAAGTTTCCAACTAACACCTAAGATTTATGTTCCCTTAGAACAATTAGATGTGGCGAAAAGAGGCCAAAAGACATGGAGGCAGCTGGCCAGCCTAGGGACAGCTGCCTCCTCCAGGTGCTACAATCCTCCTTGCCCCACCCCCAGGCTCTGGAGCTGGTGTTTGCAGGCTTTGTTCTCCCCTGTCGTCCTGGTTTGGTTTGGGCTCAGGCTTTGGCATGGTGCTCAGTCCGGGCCCCTCTGTGTTCTTTGTTCTCCCTTAGGGTGTGGTCAACCCCAGGCACAAAACACACATTCTAGATCCTGGATGCAAGCACAGCTCTCCCACACCCTGCGCTAGAACCTGTGGTCTGATACAGGACATACTGCGATGTATTCCCCTTGGGGGCAGGACACAAAATGACCATTTATTGAGCACCTATTAAGTGCCAGGCACTGCTGGGTCATAGTGGTTTTTTCACATGCCTAATTCCAGCTGTCCCTGAAGATGTGGGGCCATCATCCACTCCTAACAAGCAAGGCCTAGAGGCAAACCCCCTAGTTTCCAGAGACAGAAGAGGCATGCGAATGGAGCCGCAAGGGCCCACCGTGTTCTTCCCACCCCCACGTGACCGTGTTGTGCACATGCGCGCTGGCGTACTTCCTGTGGCAGTGGAGCCCGCTCCCTCCAAGGTTTGCACAGGGAAGGGGCTAGAGCCAGTGCATCCACCAGGGGCACTGCTCTTTGTGTCGTTTGATCACTGCGTGAAGAGGGGATGGAGCCTCCATTTTCTAATTTGGCCTCCTTAAACTTGGGCCTCTACCCGATTTGGGTCAAGGCTTTTCGCACTCGCTAGTTCTGTGGCTGTGGTCCTGGACACCATGGCAGAAATGAGCACACAAAACAGAGACAGATACCCTGACTCTGTCAAGGGCCAGCCCTGCATCCCAAAAGGGAGCAGAAGCCAATTTGGAAGGGGTGGGGGGACCTCCAGCGCCCCAAAGTGAGATGGCCACTAAAGGGACTTGCTGCCCTCCACACACACCCTTAATTAGGAATTTCTAAAAGAGCAAGAAAGAGAAAATAAATGACCTGGCAGAGGGGATTAAACCAAGAACAAGAAGAAAGACTGCCCTCACTTCCCTTATTTTATTTTATTTTTTTAAGCAAATGCTTCAGGGTCCAGAAGAAAAGGGAGGGAAGCAGGTTAAAATTTCCACTTGGAAAAGGTGTTGACAGAGTAAAGGTGAACTGAATCTATGAAAACCCCAAATAGCAGGCCTTGATTGTCTTCTTTAAATCTTATGACAAAGTTTAGGTAGTAATTTATTAAGTGACTAGTAAGCCAAAGATAAGTAGCCGCCATTTAATGAGCACATACTATGTGCTAAGCCTTTCATACATTTTAATTACTCCTCAGTGTTACACAAGAGTGAAGAAAATGAGCCCTGGAGAAAGCAGGCCTTATTCTGAATTCTGGCTCCACCATGTAGTAAACTGGTGACCTTGGACAAGTACATAAACTTTCTACCTTGGGTTTACTCACCTGTGTACTATAGGAAGACAGTGGTCGTACTACCACCTCATTAGACGTGTAGGGATTTAGTGGGGTGGCATGCAGGAGCTCTTGGCACCCAGCTGGCTATAAGGTAAACCCTCAGTAAATGCCGGCTGTTATTGTTACACGTGGCAGGAGGTATTATCTCTGTCTTACACATGAGAAAACTGGAGCACAGAAAGATGACAGCAGCTGGTCAGCTCCCAGGGTAATTTCAGAACAGTTCATGGCCACACCTGTCCTCAGCCTGGCAAGGAAAGCCAAACGTGATCAGCCCCATCTGTAGATACTGAGAGTCACGGATGAGGCCCAGGGCCCCATCAGTGAGGGGAGGATCATGGAAGTGACCCTAGGAAGTAGGTCCCACCCTCTTGAGCTAGGATTTTTTATTTTCTAAGATTTTATTGATTTATTTTTAGAGAGAAGAGAAGGGAGGGAGAAAGGAAGATGAGAAACATCAACGTGTGGTTGCCTCTCGGGCGCCTCCCACTGGGGACCAGGCCTGCAACACAGGCATGTGCCCTGAATGGGAGATCAGACTGGCGACTCTTTGATTCTTAGGCCAGCGCTCAATCCACTGAGCCACACCAGCCAGGGCCTTGAGCTGTATTTTTGATGGACTGGTTTGAAAGGAGCTGTGGGAAAAGGCCCTGCGGGGAGTGGGATAAGATGCCCCAGAGGCCCCCTCACCTGGTCCAGGCAGCCTTTTGGACAGAGCTGGAAGAGTGGACTGTGGCAGCTGGAAGGGTTATCATCACCCCTTCCAGAAGACCAGAATCCCCACGAGAAAGAGGGCTTTCAAAACTCGGGGTGGGGCAGGCCCTGAGAGAGGCCTTAAGTCACAGGCTCTGCGTCTCAGAGCCCCACTGACTGCAGTGGCAGGCCTGAGTTCCGAAAGCCCAGCAGCCATCGGGCCACTCACCCTGCAACACGGGCCCGTTAAACCCTTTCAGAGTGCTGACCAGCTGCCGCCCGTCCCGGAAGTCTCTTCCAGCCTTCATCATGAACTTCACCGTCTGAGCGTAGAGCAGGACCGAGTCGTGAAGGTAGGCAGAGTAAGGGCTCACCTTCAAGGAGGCAAGCAAATGCAGGGTTTGAAAAGGCCTGCGGCCTCCTGAGTCACTGCCGCGGCAGCTCGGTGAGGAGGAATTTCTCGCCATGCTCTCAACGCTGTCACCCATCTTCTCCATCCCTCCCCCAGCAAGGGAGGGCCCTCCACGTGCCCTGACCTGGGCTGTTAGACCTGGGTATCGCCATCTTCACTTTTCTTCCTTAGGCCTGTGTTCCCAATTAGATCACGTGATCCTTCAGGTTAGAAATAGCTCTCTAGGACATAGGTGGGCAGGAGTGTGGTTTAATTGAAAGTGAGTAGATGCTGGACGCAGGCTGGCCTTTCTACCTACTAACTCTGAGGTTCGGGGGAACTTCCATAGCCTGTCTGTATCTCGGCTCCCTTATTTATAAAATGGGGATAAAGCCACTGTCCTGGTGAATATAAGGACAGTTAAATGAGGCAGGATAGGAATGCTACGTATTGTGCTACCTGGCGCACAGTAGGTCTTCAATACATGTTCTTGTCTGTTCATTTAGCTATCAAACATACAAGTGTCCACTGAGTGCTAAGCACTGTTCTCCTCATAGGACCTGGTACAAGCACTTAGTAGGTGACTCCCCACAAGTTCATTGGCTGATCATCTTGCCTTGTGTGTTGGGATCCGCATTTGGCTGCCTTGTTCCTAATGGAACCCCTTTCATCAATGGCCTGTCACCGGAAATAGCTTCCGCTCTGGCCCACAGTCTCTGTATAAGAAATTTCTCTGTGGGTGTCAGACACTTGCCCCACCATCCCCCACACACTGTGACTACCAGTGGCTGAGCTTTTCTCTCCTGTCTTCTCCCTGTTCCAGACCATCTGCTTGCCTTGGCCTGTTCTAGCTCCGTATTTCTGACTGCTCCATTCTGGTTCTCAGTCCTGGCATCCTCCTGGGAAAGGGTGGTCTGAGTGCCCCTGGTGTCTGTTCTACTACTTCCATGTGCTATGTTCCTAGATACTGGAAACCTCAGGCTGGAGGCAGATGTCATTATCAGAGGTTATTTTTCAGGTGAAGAAACTGAGGTGTGGGGAGGTCAAGCAATTCCCTAGAGATCCCACAGGTAGTAAGCAGCAGGACTAGGATGAGAGCCACATATCTGACTCCAAAAGCCACCTGGCCTCTCCCTAGTAACCTCTGTCCTCCTCTGTAGTAGTCCTGGGGTGCTGACTTCACAAGAGAGCGTCAGACCACTGTTTATTCTCAGCAGTGTGTGTTTGTTTTAGGGGGGTGGACAAAGGCGGGGGGGATAAGAAGGAGAATAGAAAAGCCGAACACAAACATCCTCAAATAAGGGTAGGCAGGGACCTGGGTGGTAGGACCCTGTCTCAGACCTGCTCCTCTGCAGACAGAGAGCTGTGGAAGGGTGGCCCCCTCAGCCGTTGGCGGACTTCTTGTTGGAAGCCTTCATCTCCAGGACCTTCTGCGTAGGAGCTGAGGGCAATGAGAAGCACAGACTCATAGATGGTGGGGAAGTGCGTCCCCTTCTGATTTGTTAGCACTTCCTTCCAGAAACTGTCCTGAAATAGAATGAAATCAATGTGACCATTCTGTAGGAAATACCCTGAGCAACAGGAGTGCATCTAGCCAAAGTCGAATTTGAATCTCTGCATTCTAATCCTCGAAAACACAATGACTCTGGAAGGCCTGCCTTGCAAGGTACACATTTCCGAGCTGGCATAGAAGCAGTGGGAAGGAAGCCAATAAATACATAAATAAATATGTAAATAAATACATAAATCAATAAATAAAGTTGATGGCAAGCAGCTAAGATATAGAAAGCTTACTTTTTAACAAGGGTAATAAAAACTTTAAAAACTTGGGACTGTTGGTTCTAGACTTTTTGCTTGTGGCTTAATTCATTTGTTATTTTCATTATTACCTATATTATTACTATAATGGAAGCAATACCCACTCATTGTGTGTGTGTGTGTGTGTGTGTGTGTATGAAAGATAGTAGGATCTTCCCTGAATTTCCTATTGCTCCCTCCTGTCTTCTTGGAGAGGTATCTATCCATTCTAAGCATGTACAGAGCTGCGTGTACGTGTTTGCATTTTACATAAATAGTATCATGCTATATACTGTTCTGTGGCTTAATGTTTTTTCCACTTAAATCTATATTGGGGACACTTACAGAATGGATTTATGCTCTTCTTTTCAAAAGCAGCATGAATTCAATTTCATGTTTTTTTGAAAAGATAAAACAAGATAAATAAACCTTAAACCAGACCTATTAAGAAAAAATGAGACCCAAATAAATAAAATCAGTAATGAAAAAGAAGTGACAACTGACACCACAGAAACACAAAGGATTTTAAGAGAACAATATGAAAATTATATGCCAACAAATTGAACAGTCTGGAAGAAATGGATAAATTCCTAGAAATATGCAATCTTCCAACACTGGATCAGAAAGAATCAGAAAATCTGAACAGGTCCATTACAGCCAATGAAATTGAAGCAGTAATCAAAAAGCTCACAACAAAGAAAAGTGCTGGACCAGATAACTTCACAGGTGAATTTCACCAAACATTTAAAGTAGAATTAAAACCTATCCTTCTTAAACTATTCCAGAAAATTTGATAGGAGGAAAGGCTGCCAAGCTTACTTTATGAGGTCACTATTATCCCAATTCAAAAACCAGACAAAAGACATTGCCAAAAAAAGATTATAGACGGATAACTTGGATAAACAGAGATGCAAAAATCCTCAACAAAATATTAGCAAACCAAATTTGGAAATACATGAAAAAGATCATACACCATGTTCAAGTGGGATTTATTCCTGAGATGCAAAGTTAGTTCAGTATTTACAAATAAATTAATGTGATACAGCACATGAAAAAAAGCATTAGACAAAATTTATCACTGATTTATGATAAAAACTCTCAGCAAAGTGGAAATAGAGGGAACATACCTCAACGTAATAAAGGCCATATATGGCAAACCCACTGCCAGCATCATACTCAATGGGCAAAAACTATAAGCATCTCTTAAGAGCAGGGATAAGACAGGGATGTCCACTTTCACCACTCTTATTTAACATACTCCTGGAAGTCCTACCCACAGCTATCAGACAGGAAAAAGTAAAAAAACACTTAAATTGGAAAGGAAAAAAATAAAACTGCCATTATTTGTAGATTACATGGTACTATATAGAGAGGACACTAAAGATTCCACATACACACACACACACACACAAATACTAGAACTGATCATATAATTTAGTAAATTATCAGGATACAAGATAAATATTCAGAAGTAGGTTGCACTTTTATATACAATAATGAACTGTTAGGAAGAGAAAATAAGAAACCACTCCCATATAAAATTGCATCCAAAAAATACACAGAAAATTCTAACACATTGAAGAAAGAAATTGAAGAAGATACAAATAAATGGAAGCATATATCATGCTCATGGATAGAAAGAATTAACATTGTTAAAATGTCCATACTACCCAAAGGAATCATAGATTCATGGCAATTCCTATCAAAATACCAATGGCATTTTTCACAGAACAAATAATCCTAAAATTTATATGGAACCACAAAAGACCTCAAATAACCATAGCAATCTTGAGAAAGAACAACAAAGTTGGAGGTACTATGCTACCCGATATCAAACTATACTAAGGCCATAGTAATCAAAACAGCATGGTACTAGCATAAAAACAGACACACAGACCAACGGAACAGAATAGAAAGCCCAGAAATAAACCAACACCTACATGGTCAATTAATATTTGACAAAAAAAGGCAAGAACATGTAATGGGGTAAAGAAAGTTTATTTAATGGTGTTGGGAAAATTGGACAGATACATGCAAAAATAAAAAAAAAGAGAAAGAAACTAGTCCACACATTCTTATACCATATACAAGAATTAAACTCAAAATGGATTAAAGACTTAAATGTGAGACTTGAAATCATAAAACTCCTTGAAGAAAAACATAGGCAGTAAACTCTCTGACATTTCTGTTAGTAATATTTTTTCTGATACATCTTCTTGAGCAAAGAAAAGAAAAGAAAAAATAAACACATGTGACTAAAAGTTTTTAGCATAGCAAAGGAAACCAACAACAAAATGAAAAGTCAGCCTACTGAACGGGAGAAGATATTTACCACTGATGCATCCAATAAGGGGTTTATATCCAAAATTTATAAAGAACACATACAACTCAACACCAAAAAAATAGACAATCCAATTAAAAATTGGACAAAGGGCCTAAACAGACACTTCTCCAAAGAGGAGATACAGATGGCCAATAGACATATGAAAAGATGTTCAACATCACTAATCATCAGAGAAATGCAAGTTACAACCACAATGAGATACCACCTGACACATGTCAGAGTGGCTACCACCAATAAATGTACAAATGACAAGTGCTGACCAGGATATGGAGACAAGGAACCGTCGTGCACTGTTGGTGGGAATGCAGATTCGTGCAACCACTGTGGAAAACGTTACGGAGGTTTCTCAAAAAATTAAAATAGAACTACCTTAGGACCCAGCAATTGCACTTCTGGGTATACATCTGAAGAAATCCAAAACACTAATTTGAAAAGATACATGCACTCCTATGTTCATTGCAGCATTATTTACAATAGCCAAGATATGAAAGCAGCCCAAGTGCCCATCAATAGACAATGGATAAAAAAAGCTATGGTACACGTAGACAATAGACTATTACTCAGTCATAAAAAAGAATGAAATCTTACCCTATTTGACAACATGGATGGACCTAGAGGGCATTAGGCTAAGTGAAATAAGTCAGACAGAGATAGAAAAATACCATACGATTTCACTTCCATGTGGAATCTACAGAACAAAATAAACAAACAAAACAGACTCATAGATACAGAGAACAGACTGCTGGTTATCAGACGGGATGGGAGCTGGAGGACTGGGTGAGAAAAGTGAAGGGATTAAGTACAAATTCGTAGTTACAAAATAGTCATAGAGACATAAAGTACAGCATAGGGAATGTAGTCAATAATATTGCAGTAACTCTGCATGGTGCCGGGGGAGTGCAGGGTGGTGTGAGCTGACATACGTCTTGGTGTATCAAGTGCTCACAGTGGGGTCTGGCATCCAGTAACTACTCTATAAGTCAGAGCCAGAGTTGGGGCAAAGGGCTCTGTCCCAGAGTCCAAAAGGCCTAGTTTGGAAGGCCAGCTATGCCCTCAGGAGCCCTGGGATCTTGGAGAAGTTACCTTACATATCTAAGCCTCAGTTTTCTATCTGTAAGTGGGAATGCTGATGGGATCGACCTCACAAGGATCTTGGGAATATTAAGCACAGCAATGCAGGTAAGACATGTAACTCATTCCTCACAGTAGGCACATGGTACATTTGACCATTCCGATCATGACCAAAAGAACCCATTCACCCAAGAAGAGCCTCATCGGACCAGTATGTTGGTCTCTCCAGGCCTTTGCTAGGACTCCAACAGGGACACAGGGAGGATGTGCCACTTGAGCTACATGATAAGAGTGACAGTTTCTCAGCCAGTGTTTGCTGACAGACTACCAAGAGTCAGCACCAGGTTCGAGGCCTGGCTCACTCACTGGGCAAAAGAACACTGCGTAAGTTCTCCCAGCTCAGCCCCGGTCTCCCAGCCTTAAGATGAAGACACAAGAGTGCCTGCCTCTTAGGGCTAAGTCTCCAGTGAGCCACTGCACCTGGCACTTAGCAACTGCTCCACACTCCCTAGCTCCTACTGCAGGAGCCATATGGGGGTCATCGACACCCACCTGCCACTGCTGCAAAACAATGAAAACAAATCCTCCTGTGGGGAGTCCCAGGTTCTCCGCAGCCAGCAGAATAATGTTTGCATCCTCTGAGCTGCAGATTAGGATGATAACTATAAGATTAAAAAAAAAAAAAGAGTCAGGCAAGCACACGTGATCATGTGCACACATGCATGCGCTTTTTAAAGTCTAGCCTGACACTGCCCCAAATGAGGCATGAACTCTCTCTTTCCCTGAGCATGCTGTAGGAAAGCGGAATCCCGAAACTATTCCCAGAGAGCCCCACCAGCAGTGTGCGCACTGGCAGTTTTGCCCTACAGATCTCAAGTCCACACAGCAGCTCTCTCCCCAGATCCAAGTCAGAAAAGGCTAAGGCCATCTGTGTGCTCTGGTCTCTCTGTTTCATTGGCTCAGAACAAGAGATCTGGTTTGCTAATCCTCAGCCACACTGTTAGGAGGAGTGAAAGGAGGACCTAGAGTCAGGAGCATTCAGATGTTTGAGTTGGGATGGGAGGAGGGGAAGATGTGGGCCATGGTAATTTTCTTCCATTCAAACTCCTCAGCATGCGTTTTGAGAACACACGAACGAAACAGTGGCGTTCTTTCAATGAGGTAAATTAATAATCTATTAATCTGAGCTCCATCTATGTGCCAAGCCTTGTGTGACTGAGCACAGGATGCAGCCATGAGCAAGACAGAGGGCCCGTGCCCTTACGGAACTAAGTCAGACAGGCACTATTTCAGTGAATTGTGACACGCCATGGCGTTACAGGTCGCACCCCAGGTCAAGGGTCAGCAAGTCTCAAAGTGCCAGAACCAGAAAGCCTTAGTTTGTTGAAGAACAGAAATAAGTCAGTTACTAATTCAGGCTAGAAAACGGAGCCTTATAAGTACCACAACAAAACTAACTGCTATCATATGCTGACCAATTACTATGTCCAGATATAGTACTAAAAACTTTAAAGGCATGACCTTATGCAGTCCTCATGTTTCTGTGAGGTAGGACGATGACTACCTTCACTTTCCAGATAAGGCATGTGAGGTACAGAGAGGTCAAGGTATTTGCCCAGGGATACACAGCTAACAAGTATTAGAGGCTGGTTTGGCACCCAGCCTATCTGTGTCCAGGGCCCATGTAATGACAGCCCAAGCCCAGGCCCCAGTCCACATGGAAGATGCTATCAGAATGTAGTCAATGAATCACAACACTGTAGCATATAGGATTTCACTTTAGATTAAAAAATATTTGTTGTCAATGGTGGCGGTGTCAATCAAAAAGAAAAATTGTTTTTATATATCATTAATTTTTGCATCCTCTGAGCTGCAGAGTTCCATCTGCTTTTTACACCCATAGCAGAATGAAGAGTTCCTGTATGCTTTTCCTATTTGTCTCTCCAGACGTAAGCAATAGGAGACCTCTTCTACTTACCCCTGGCAGTTGTTGACATGGTCCTAAGATTCTCTTGCAGGAGGGCTGGATCAGTGTCGGTGTATCTGACCCGGGCAGTGATGGTGAAATGGGATTTGAGTTCATTCTCTACAACCCTCCACAACTCATCCATTCTAGCCCAGGAAGAAGTGCCAGAGTGACCCCCAAACATCCCGATGTGTTTCCAGCCCAGGTATTGGAGACTTTTCTGGAGCACATCACCAATTTCACGCATGGGTGGCACAATTGTCACATAGGTGTCATACAAGAAGTCTTTCTCCAGTTTTGCTGTTTGTCCAACAAAGTCAAACATGGGGATATTCCACTCAGAGGCCAGCAAACCAATAACCTTGAAAGAAACCAAGAAGATGGCTTTTCATAATTGAGTTTATGCTGCACTCAAACTACATTGTAAGGTATCTGCATGAATTTTGAATTCAGTGACTCAGCGGGTCCTGCTGGAGCCTATCTTTTGGAATATTGATGATAATATCTTGTATCCAACATGAAGATGCAAGGCCTCAGGACAAGAATAACAATAGTGATCATTCATTGAGAGCTTACTGTGTGCCAAGCACTTTGCTAAGAGCTTACATATATCATCTCAATTTTTAAAATGTTTCTATGGGGTAGGCATTATCATTGCCCCACATTATAGATGAAAACATGGGGGCACAGGGTGTAAGTTACAAAGCTAGCAAATAGTGGAGAAGGATTGAAATACAGGCAAAATGAATTCAGACCTCACACTCAGAGCTACTATTCACTCTCCTGGTGTTTCTTTCTCAATTTGTTCTTTATTAATTTCTCATTCATTTTTTACTATGAGCCTACTATTTATAAGAAACTTTGCAGACCCTGCTCTTAAAGGATTTATTGTAGGAACTAAGACATATGAAAATAGCTATAGAGTTAAATAACCTTTCCTTATTTATAGACAATAGATTTATAGGAATTTATAAAGGTAAGAAATTACTTCTGATTTGAGAATTAGGGACATAGAGGTAAGGATGGAGGGGGGAAGAAAGGCTCTATGGCATTTGAGCTTGACTTTGAAGAATGGGTGGGCTGTGGACAGCGAGAAATGTGTCAAATGAGGAATTCCAGGAGAGAGCAAGATTCAGATTCAAACGTGAACTTAATTCTACAACCCCCATAATGGTAGTTGCACAGTGAGTGAGAACTGTGGTGTTCCTTTCTGTTTAGGCTTTGCATCAAGACCTAACGAAGCACAAGATACCCGAGGACTTCTACAAGGCTAATCCCATTAACTAAACAGATACAAGTCATTGGCTTCTCTCATTTTCTTGCCCTAGTTTATTACAATCTGTCCTGCTTCCTTCTTTCCCACTTACTTTTACCATCAATGAATCATTTATTATACACCTAAGAGGAACCTACACAAATGATATTTTTCTATTTAAAACCAAACATTAATTTTCTTCTCAATTTTCCTGATCCATGTAGCTGACAACATTAGAATAAATAATGAGTTTATCTGCAATAACACTAAGTTCAAACGATCAACAAGTTTGTTAATACACATCAACAGGTTAATGAATGAACTTACAATTATGGATTTGAAAGTGTTTCTTTAAAGACAGCATTAACTGTTCTAATTACATGGTCTAACCACATCTCAAAGCGATGGTACCCAAGACCCACACAATGATTATTTTAATAATGCCACCCTTGTCAAGGGATAATTCAAATCTATGTCATCATCTTTAAGACCATCCCTTCCAATGGAAACTCAGCCAGAGTTTTAGAAGGTTGTATACCTCTGCTGCTTCTGGGCATGCTGGTCCAAACAGGGCAGAAATCTCTTCTCTCTGGACCTGGTTGGTGAAAATAGCAAGAGACTCCTTGGTGCTGCAGGTTGAGTTGGTGTAAGTGAACCCCCAGCTGAAGTTCCTGAGGTCCACGGACTCTGAGTTGATCTTGTCCATAGCAATCTGGAGGCCCGCACCCAGCCTTTGTGCACTGAATGGAAGGGAGATGTCCCAGGGAGCCTGGAAGCCCACTGTGAGTTTAGCGGCCTCAAGCCCAGTCACCAGCACACTGGCAAAGAGCATTAGAGCTAGTATTGGGTGCGCACCATGGCATTCAACCCCCAAACAGAGCCTAGATCGAAGTGTGGCCTCAGCACCTGTGCCAGGAGCCATGGAGAGTGTCTAACACCTGGCGTACTGCAGGACTCGGAGAGGCTCAGCCTCCTGACCACTCATGTCAGGAGCTTAAATGGTAGTGCTGCGCTCCCTGAGGACTGCAGCTTGGTTTCTATTCAGTGCCATTAATTAGCCAGAATGTTTTCTTTTCAGAATCTGTCCTAACACATCTAGAAGCAGCAGTCTTGCAGAAAAAGGTTAGGGCAGGGCGTCTGCAAGTCCCTGGTAACTGATCCAGGGACACCACCGACAAACTTTATGGTCCTGGGCAAAGTGCATAACCCCAGTGGCTCCCAGCCCTGGGATCCCTCTCTGCTAGCTAAATAAGAAACATGGAACCACTCCATTGTAGGCAGATCACCTAGGCTGAAATTCTGACTTCACCAGATATTAGTTGTGTGACCTAGGTCATGTTACTTCCTCTCCCTATGCCTTCATCTTCTCACGGATAAAATGGGGGATTAAAAATGTAACGGGAGCTTCCTCTAAATAATATTGTAAGGATTAAACAAGGTGATACAAGTCCAGCACTCAGAACAATGCCTGCGCAAGAAGAGTCACTTCTCCAAGCTAGGTAATGGTGATGATGACAATGATTGATGATGTTGATTTCACAGTGATAGTGATCACCTGTTGCATTAATCTTATAATTCTTCTAGAATAAGTGAGTTAATGGCTGTGCAAGCGTTTACTCACACCTAGCATAGCCTATGCCCCTCACACTGGCCAAGGACATCAGGGAGAGTCTTCTAATGAATGAACACTAACTCTCAAAGCTTGATCTCAGGATTACCTACATCAGTCTATCCTGGGTAAAAGTACAGATTCCAGGCCCCCACTCCAGACCCGCTGAAGCAGTCTTCAGTTTACTGCAATTAACAGACTCTCATGCATCTTGAAGGACACTAATGTTTGAGAAGCTCTGAGACATTCTGAAGTGCGAAGAGGAAAAGAAGAGCTGATAACTACTCTCTACTTATCCTCCTTCAGCGGCAAGCCTCCAGACCGGGATAACTGAGCCTTCGCTCTGGTCCACCTATTGGAGGAGTATCTTTTCTCCAAACCAAATTCACCATAGCTTCTTCAATGAGCTTCAGATTCTCTCTCTCTTCTACTAGGACAGCTTGGCATCAGTTTGCAAAGTTGACTGAGTCTAAAGATATCCTCAATCTAATCATAGACAGAAGTCCATGGATTTTTGTTGTTGTTCAGATGCTTGCCTGATATATGGGACATTGGGCAAGTCAGTTCAAACCTGTGCCTTGGTTTATTAACTTCAGAATTAGTTTAACAATGTTCTTTTCCAACAGTGGTTATAAAGAAATTGTGAAATTATATATTTACCTGGCACAATGCCTCACATTTAGAAAGAATTCAATAAGGGAGCGCTCCCTAAAATGAGTGTGTCGCCACCTAAGTCATGATTGCAAAACCGGGATTCGGGGAACAATACTTTATTATACATTCTGTGTGCCTTCTCCCTACCCCATATATAACCATCTTAAAATTTGTACTCCCACTCTGGATAATTTTAGGTTCTTTGTGTTTACAGATTTCCTTTCTCTGAGAAATCTTTGAGGTCAGGTGATTACGTATGCCCCTCTTTGGATCCTCAGATCGGAGCCTTTATATATGCAAATTAATATTAATCATGATAAGCATAAGTAATTTTTTTTGTATTCCTAAGTGCTGACATGTGAGCATGATCAAAACCATGAGAAAATACTGACAAAGGTCCGCTTCGGTGGGAATTTAAGAAGCAGACATACCCTGCTGGTAGGTGTTGATAGCCATTTTTTCAATGTGAATTCAGAAGCTGTAAGAATATATGGATCTTTGATTCAGGAATTCCAACTTTGGAGACTAATTCTAAAGAAATAAGATCGTATGATAAGATTTTACTACACCGTTTTTTTTTTTTAAGAGTCAAAAATCAGACACAAATCTTATGTCTAACAGCAGGGGCCTGGATAAATGACATATAGTTAATCTACATGACTGAGGAGCAGGCAGTCATTAAAAATGAGTGCCTTTCTATACGTAGCAGAATAGTTACAATGTATTAACTGAGGAAGCACACTACAAAACAACATGTACAGTATTCTCTTTTTATTGTTTTTTCAAAGTACACAGTTTGCATAGCAAAGATTACACATACCTAACCTCTAAAAGTGGTACTCTCTGGATGGTGGAAAGTATGAGTACTTTTATTCTCTTTGCTTATCTTGATTTTCATATTTTTTGTCTTAACATCTGCAATAAGAAAGAAAAGTAAAAGTTTTCATTACAAATAAACCTGCATTTGTGGAGTGAGGGCATAGGTGTTGAACTCACACTGTCTGAATTCCCAGGTGGGGAGCATTTGTCTCACACTGGCCTGCACCCTCGCACTTCAAGGCACTGGATTTTCCTCTGGGGGATCTAGCTATTCTCTGTGGAGTTCAGCCCCCTTCATTTTACCATCCGCCTCGGAGAAGGAGAGAGAGATGCTGTCGTCCCAATGATGAGGATCACCTGGAACCCATTGCCATAGAAACAGGCCTGCCCACTTATAATTATAAGTTCAGTGGAACTTAAAGGGACTGTGGCTGCTAGAGAGAGCATGATGTTCTCCACATTTTTTTCCAGTCCTTTCTCCTTCTGAGAGATTCTTATGCCTGCAAGCTTCCAGTCGCATGGTGATTGCAGGGAGAGGCAATGTTGTTTCACCCAACAATGCCATCGAACAAGAGTATGTCCAGCAGAGGTGCAGAAGTTGGTTCCCTATATGAGTGGGGGTGGTGCTTTCATTCTTAGCTGCTTTGTCCTATCTCCACTTCCTGAAGAGACAATCACAGAGGGAGGGTTCTTTCTGCCTGATTTACGGTTTCCTCGATGCTGACCAGCCTGGCCATAAATCAGATATGGGGCCAGCTGTTTAGCATCCAAGGTCTGGCTGTACCCAGAGTGCTGGGGTCTTCATAAAACTCTAGCACTTTTCTAGCTGCCTGTCTTTCCCTCCTGCTTTCCCCTTGCACCGCTTCAATCTGTAAATCAGGGGTCTGACCATATTTAAAGAAAAAGTGAAGGTTTAGAATGTGTGGGTTCAAACTCATCCAGAAGGCAAGAGGCAGGAAAAGCAATGTGGCCATCTTGGAAGAGTGAGCTGAGCCTCTAATGTCCTAGGGAAAGACAAAGAAGAGGCAGCTCTCACTCCTGCCCTTACACATGCATCTCTCGGTGTCTTCTTTAAAAAAGCATCAGCCTCAGGCTTCCCCAAGTGAATGAGACTGTAACTGAGCCTTCATGGCCTTTCCTGTGAAATGGGGAAACAGCAGGGGGCAGAGGCCCCTGACCTTACCAGCTTCTTGCCCTAAAATCCTAGCACTCTGGTGGCTTCATCACTAATCAAGTACCCCACACTCAGTGGTGACAGCAAGTTTCTTTCCAGATCTTGCTTATGGGTTCCTAAAGGGAGCCATTCCTGAAGATCTAGCATGCCTTGCACAGACCCTCCCAGAAATAGGAGCGAGTAAAAGGGTGGCTATTTCCGGTCAGGGCATAAATATCAAACTTCCCTGTTGTGTTCTCCTCTTTTGTAAATAGCTGAGATAACTTCGCTGACTGTGAAGCTCCTAGTGAGTAAATGTTTGAGAAGCCATAGGAAAGTGGAGCGAAGGCTGAACTTGTAGGATGCAGAAGATCATATTTCTCAGGCCTGTAATGAAGCAACTTCCTTGGATCCAACAGCCACTCTTTTAGGTAACCATGGATGCACTACACCTTGAGGGCCAGGGAGAGGCCAGGGATGTGGCACTGGCCTTGGCTGTCTGATGGGGACATTCTGGTCCTGTTTCTGAGGAGGTTTGTGTGAGAGGAAGAGACCCTCCCTTCCAGGGACTCCACCTGTCTCTTATATGCTTCCGCCACCCAGTATTTATTCCGGGCTGCTGAAAGAGACTCTTCCTCTGGCCTGTGATGTTTGATCCTTTTCTCACCTCTTCCCACCAGGAATGTGTCTTTGACACCTGAGCAGTTGCTTTTGACAGCCTGGGGCTTCTAATCCATATTTTCCAGCTTTCTTCTGGCTACAAATATAACCTGAAGTTTAGCAGGTTGGTTTGCTCTAAATGCCAGATTTCAGATCTGAATATTTGTGTTGTGGTCTTTGATCCTGCCTCCCAGATTAAGACCCCTCCCCTGAGTAAAGCCTGAGCCAGAAGAGCAAAAATTTTCAGAAAGCCCTTGGGAGGTGGGGCAACTGCCTGCTCCTGCTACTCTGTAAGCAAAGATACTGAGTGACTGGCAGTGATGTAATTACTTCCAAAGCCACTTTTCAGAAAATTGTGATTTTCCAAAAGCGTCTTGTCGTCAGTGTCTCAAATAAAGAATGAAGAATGTGTCCTTGCCTTAATACATTTCTCTCTGCTGGTTACACACTTTTAACCCATGAGAATGATAGGTTTCTCTGTCTGAGCCCACCAGGGACCAGTGTGGCACTAGGCTTGCCGTCTAGCTGGCTTCTCTAAAGGGAGACAGGATGTCTCTTCTGACTCATCCAACCTCCTGAGCTTTTTATCTGGAGAGACCAGAACCTTCCCATTTCCTTTCATTTCCACTCTGCTCATGTTAAAGCTTCCCAAATAGTTCCCTAGCCAGGCACTCAGACTTGCTCTCCATGCCGTGAACCCAGGGAACCAAACCAAGGCTGCCACACAGAGGACAATGTCCTCAAAGGCTTGGTGAGGGGAAAGGGTTGGCAGACACCCCCAAGTATCAATGCTCCTATAGGAGGTTTCTCCCATCCCACCCTGTAGGAAGCAGTGTGGCAGAGTGGTCGGAAGTACAGGTTGGAAATGAGGCTTGAGCTGGCTTTCACAAGTTATGCACTCTCTGAACCTCAATTTCCTCATTAGTAATCACTCTCC